CTAGTTGGCTTAAAGGTGCGTACTTGTTTGGTGGTAGCCATTGGGATGTTTTTCTCCCGTAATTGTTTGATGGAGCGTTTTTTAGACCCCTAGCCATTACCTAGTCCATATTGTTTATGCTCTTCCCAAATCCGGACTGTATTTCTAATCGCCAATCCATGCCAAAAATTCTTTGTCTTCATTCGTTATCTGTTAACTCTTTTTTAACTCCTGTCACATTTTCTCATTGGCTGATTCTACTTTATTCTAGTGTAAATATGTTAAATTAATTTACAGACAATTTGTTTAATGACGAGTTTTTTTGTATCTTTCTCCGTGTAGTTTTCTCTTGAAGGTTATTTTTCGACAATGGGACAGTCATCTGCTATGTAGTGACAAGATGTCAAAGTCGATGCTAAGTTAAACGAAGACTTTTCCTTAGAATCTAATAATTTTTGACTATTGCATGAAAGCCTTGTTAACATTATTTCGTTACGAGCTTCTTCCTTAGTCAGTTTAAAGGGTTAGATTTCGTCCAACTTACCTTCTTGGCTAACGTATCGCATTGGCTGTATGTAGGCATACTCATAGATGCCTTATGGACTTCTATAAAGCGTCATAGGCTTTCTTCCAACCCAAATAACGTGCTAATTAAAACACTCAGATCAGGCGTAACATGGTCGCAAACGATAAAGAACGGTTTTGGAGACTTTTGAGCCAAGTATACGTCTGTTACCGTAATTCTCGTAAATAACCTAATGAGTAATATTCCTCTACCAGATTCCAGTCCCTTCAACGTCCTTTAATTACTAAGGGGCGTGGTTTTGTTTGTAAATTTCGGTTCATTCTGCAAGTCATTTGCTTTTAGGAAATCGGATTTCACAAACACTTTCGCCTATTTTCAATTCGGAACTCTTTAGCTGGGCTTTAAGGAATCGGAGGTCTGCCTCTCGCGATGTTGAAATCACGAGCTTACCATCGTTTATGTTCTAATTGTATAGTTTAATTCATGAACAGTGGTATTTTTTAAAAGTGTATGTACGTGCGGCAGACGGCTTTGGTTATTATTAGTACCCAAAACTTGCTGCATTATCTCCGTGAATTCATTTCGGCTGGAGCACTCATAGACGTAGCTTGCCGTGTTTAGATGCCATCCTAAATAAAGCGTACCTTTTATCGCGGGTTCTTTTTAACGCCTCCAAACGTCCATATGCCAGTAACGTCGGCGTTTTTTGGGATTTGAAAGTCGTTTGCCTGTTCTCTGTTTCTATGGTAAATAGAGCTTCCTAATTAGCCGTTGTTTATGAAATTATCACTTCTACATGTGCCTCACTGGTGCCTGAGTAAACTGTGTAATCTTACCGTTCACTAGTCATTTTCGTGCTATTTGTAGGTTCTGCCTCTGCGCAGGCCAATGCAGCTAAGCTTTTTCAGTATCTTTGAAGTGAAATTCTCCTGATATTCAAATGTTTGGGATGATCAAAACTGATTCGCTTTCTACAGCATTGGTGTTCGATGTCTCGATGGTGTATAACTTATTGAATCTATGTTGAAATTGTAGGCTTGTATTATTTCTAGTCCAGTATTTATTCAATTTCACTTATGTTCCTCCACATGGACTTGAACTAACAATTATCCACGGTTACAGTGGTGAATAGCGTTAATTTAGGCGATTATCATTGTACGGCTTTAACGTCAGTAACATAACTCGTAACAGCGTCTCCAGACTTTCGTGGGATGGTCAAGGCAACAATGTTTACAACTGTTTAAACTTTATTGGCTAGATAGTTTGGACAGTTTCTTGCTTGTTCATCGAAAATGGAAGATAGTTCGCAGCATAGTAATGTTGTATGACTGTTCAGGAATGTCTGCAATCCCTTTAGAGAGCCTTAACTAAAACATTAAGCATAGCACGACCCGTAAGCAAATGCCGCCCCAAAAATCGTCGAGACGTTAATAATTCTGGGTTGCATGGTCTGTCCGATTGAGCTTATGCGATTCGTAGGCTGCCCCCTCTGTTTTTTGTCCATCACTGAGTTGGTATCATTTCAAGATCATTTGAAATTTCGTGTAATTCACTTTTTAGCCAACGGCGATAAAGTTGTTCTAAGTACTCAGCCCTCGTTTCATGTTGCTCCCTAAGTTCAAGTTGGACACTTGATCAGTAGACATTCCTCACAAGATCATTTCGTCCGCGTTACCAATAATTCTAGGCCGCGGCAAATGGCCCACTAATCTTGGCATACACATTTTTACGTAGCAAAAATAAGGGTAAGAGTTGCGAAAAGAGTTTGTTGAGCAAATAGAGCTATATCCGGCACAGCTCACGGTTATTCCAGCTCACCTCCATGGTCGTGTCCCTCCTAAACCGCGAAGCAGCATGTGCTCATTGTTTTTTCTATTGAATGTTTTTACCCCTGAAAATTTATGCCATCATGTTCCATTTTTACCTGCTTTTAGAGTTAGGGCTCCGCTGTTTTTTTTACAAAAGGCAAAGACTAAGCGTGTTTAATGGAAGTGTCGTGGTTTGTTTCCACTAGAACCTCTTCAATCACTTTTTTTCTATGTTGTTTTACTACTTGTGACTTTGACAATGTCGAAATACATTCAGGGACTTTTTTATGTATTTGATCCTGAAGTTTTTTGTCCCATTATCGCCATGTCTTCCCATTTTTGTGTTTCAAATTAAAACGCAACTTGAAAAATCGCACATTATTTCGAGTTGACCGCAGACCAAATTTCTAAGAATTCATAAAATTTTTTCACAAAGAGGACTGAAAATTGTGGAGGGACTACGTCTGAACACCTGGTGCTTGCTCAGCTTTCTCCTTTACTGGATTCCACTCCAACTTACTGCCTCGCCCACCCAATGGCTTGAGTTTTCATTAGCGCTTAAACGGTAAGTAATTTCGCATTGTCTTAATGCATGAAGAATACGAGGGAGCAACTAATACTCCTCTCCGTAGGCTTTGTTGTATACGAAGAAATTATATCCTGGGCTCAAACGCACCCAAGATGATTTTCACGGCATTCTAATAGCTATTATTTTCAGTTTAGTTCTAACTTTAATGCAGCGTAGTATGTAGTATATCCGATCAGGTGTGCCATCCGCAGACAGGATGACCTTAAATCCACCTCGAGATCGGACCAGGTGCTTTCCCTTAAAATGTTATGTTTCTCATCTGGGTGAAGCAGCTGTTTTAGTCAAGTAAGCCCAGATCTGTCAGGAAGTCACTTGTGTGCAATTTCAGTTGGTGACATTCCTCTACCCTTCAGCATGGTTTCGTTCTATGATCAAGAAATAGTAATTGTGTAAACATAAAGTGTAGGCGGATAGACTTAAGTGTACATATTTTTTGCAAAATATCCTGTCCTATGTAAAGTAGACGAACTGACTTTCATGAAACGACCCGTCCCTCGTATGCCCCCCGTTATCTTGCTTTAGTGCTTCTAATTAGGACAGAGGGTGTAGGTGGTGACTGTGCGTACCTCTTCAAGCGTCTCTTCTACTTACATAGTTGGACCTTCTAGTTGAAGACCCTGTCAATGTGCATGTTAAACAATGTAAAAACCTATTTTGTGCCGTACTTTTATTCAAGGATCCTATGACGATTATTTTGTTTTATTCCCTTATTTTCTTTGTTCGAGTCTTCAATTTTGAGGGCGCAGCATCGGTCTGAACTTCTTCATGAATAGAATAGAATGAAAGATTGATATTTTATACTTGACCTCATCCTCAAGTCCTGCAGTGTTCTATCGCATGATCGTATTGTCATTGAGTCAGTTACCTTGAACAGAGGCTCCTATGTAACGCCCATGAGTGGGTTTAGGGACGCACTTATTGCCGCGTTTTGTAGATGTCAAGTCGTGACCTTTCGTAGAATAAAGGCGTCGAACTTTTGAAAATATTTTTAAATAACGACGAATCTGCAACGCTCAACTGGACCTGAAGAAATAAGATCCTTGCGGCTTGCCATGTTGAAATTTTCTACAGTTGCTTCGTGCTTTGCAACTGTTCTAGTACTCTGGTCTGTGCAGAAGGGTGTTATTTTTAAGTGCACCGTAACTTCGGCCGACGTGTGGTAAGCAGATTTTGCAATCTACGCATAATTTTCATTGTTCGGGCTTCCATGGCACACCATGCCTAATAGCCATCCAATCTGTTGATTTACTCTCAATGTTTTATCTACTTAAAGTTGTTGTTTTGTTAATTTTGCGTAGACCCCTATCACGAAAATTTGCAGGTTTTAAAAGTTAATTTTTCTCAATTTCCTGTTGCTAAGGCTAAAGTCTGTTGAACCAGCATGAAATAGGAGAAAATATAAGGCGATTGTTGTATTACGAATTTATCAACCACAATTCTAACTTGTCGTTCTTCTCACACCCAAGAGATTCTCGAAATAATTTTTTATTGCATTTTTAAAAACAATTCCAAAAGCGCCTCAATGTTCTTTCAATGAATATCGATGCAATGCAATCCCCAGCTCTTCTACCGCATACCATGTGAGGGATGTGGAATTGGGTCGTTTTGACGTTAATTGTTATGGGTAGGAATCGAAAAAAAGTTATTGAAATAGATGGATATCTAGTGCCTTCTTTTTTGGTTTTTCTTGGTGTTCTAAACCAAGATTTAGACTAAAGGGCGTTCATTTGTAAACATACTGTCTCGGCGCTACCATGACACCACATTCAGTTGAAATGAACGTGCATTAAGCAGACAGAGTCGCAGTGGCAATTAGGCGTATAAATGAGCAAACAGGAAATAAACCGGAGTCTCTATTTTGACGCCATTACTGGCAGAGATAGAATTTTTTCTAGCGTAACGTAGCCTGAAATTAGCTGCCTTCTCATGATGCCTGCCTTATTTTTAACGAAGTGGAACTTTTTGGCGCTGAAAGTTAACTTTGTCAAAGTATGGAACCCCTAATGTGGCTATATTCCTTGGGACCATGCATTTCTCACTTATCATTTCATGTATCTATTTTTAGTTGACTTCATCCTTTAATTTCTCATTTTAGCCCATGTCCATTTATCAGCGCTTTTTCGAAGAGTCAAATTCAGTCGAACCCAAAGTTGCCGGTCTCTATGACCTTGGACCAACCATAGGTCGAGGACACTACGCTGTCGTCAAGGTCGCCCAACACGTATTCACAGGTGAAAAAGTCGCTGTCAAGGTTATCGACAAAACTAAGCTGGATGCACCTTCCCGCGAGCATCTCTTCCAGGAGGTCGTCTGTATGAAGCTCGTCCAGCACCCAAACGTTGTTCGACTCTACGAGGTAATCGACACTGTAAACAAGCTCTATCTGATTCTGGAACTAGGAGATGGGGGCGATCTGTACGATTACATCATGAAGCACGAGCACGGGCTCTCAGAAACACTCGCCAAGCGATACTTTCGGCAGATCGTCACTGCCATCTCATACTGCCATAATCTCCACGTTGTCCATCGTGATTTAAAACCTGAAAACGTAGTCTTCTTCGAGCAACTCGGAGTCGTTAAACTAACTGACTTCGGCTTTAGCAATCAGTTTGTTCCTGGAAAGCAGTTGGACACATTTTGCGGTTCTCTAGCCTATTCAGCCCCTGAAATACTTCTAGGCACAAAGTATGACGCCCCTAAAGTCGATATATGGTCATTGGGGGTGATCCTCTTTATGCTCGTCTGCGGCCGGTTGCCTTTTGAAGAGGCGAATGACAGCGAAACGCTAACAAAGATTATGGACTGTGAATACCAACTTCCACCACACCTCTCTCCCCAATGCTGTTCCCTTATTTCGCGCCTACTCATTCGTGACCCAGCCAAACGTGCCACGCTTGAAGAGGTCCTTCAGGACGAGTGGTTGCAAATGGTTGATGAGGAGTTGCCGATCGGCCTTTTTTCAGTGCCCTTAATATCCCAGGAACATCTCCAATTCGAAGACCATATAGAAATCCTGAATAAAATGGCCTCCGGTGGTCTTGCGTCTGTGGACGAGATCCAGCAGGCCCTCGATAGAAACGAGTATTCTCACATCTCTGCCACCTACTTTCTTTTGGCTGAGCGGAAGTTGAAGCGGAACTACATTGAAGAATATAAAGTTCTTTCGGCGCAAGCAAAAGCTATCGAACAAACATTAAACCTACAGCAAAAATCACAATCTACATGCCCTGTGGAGCAAACCGAAAAGCCACAGGCTCGGCCGGCATCTCTGCCGAAATCAATTTCTGCGTCACTAGCTGCCTCTGGTGCCGAGGAGCGATTACGACGTTTTTCAATGATTCTCGAAGACGAAGAGGAGAACGATGAAGAGGTTGCGTCTGCAGCCACCGCTTTGTGTAGAATGGATCACAGGCTAGTCGAGGAATTCACCTTCAATGAAACCTCTGACGAAGCTTTGCTCAACGAAGAAGAAGAAGAACTTGAAGCGGTAGCTAGTCTTGCTTGTGTCCGCTCCGAGCTCCTGTCAGATCACGAGAACAGTGACGCTGGTGTAATATCCGATCTGCATGGACTTGATCACGAGACTACTAAGAATTTTACTAGGGCAAACTCAAAAGTGGATCTTTCAGAATGGGTCTCATCTGAAACTTCGCTAAACGTTGGAGCTGTTGGAGATGCTGGCCGCCGATCAGTCTCTTCCTTACTCACCTCCCGTCATTTTCGTTCTACGAGACACTCCCTCCGTCCGCTAATCTCAGTTAAAAGTAGCCCCCAGTTGCTTGAATACATTGCTGAGGAGGATGGCGCCTGGAAAGTCTCCTCCGATAATGACGATGGGCCGTCTAAACAGCCACCTGCTCTCTTAACTTCCATAATTAGGCAGCCGCGTCAGTCAACTAGTAATAGGAAGTCCATGAGTTCCATCTACGCGAAGCGGAGTTCGATGCCTCGGGCACGTAGTCCTCCGTGGCCTACTCGAAAACTGTGCTCGGGTTCCACTGCTAGCTTTAGCGCCAATTCATCACGCCCTGTTAGCGGCGTTAATCTGTGGCCGGCACTGGAAAGAAAATGGCGACAGTCGCCATCGGGAGCTGGTAATCTTTTCCTTACAACCCGCCACACCCCGAATAGCCTCATTCGACCCAATAACACGACGTCTTATCGAGAACATCGCCGACGCAGTGGTCCTCCTAGTTTTTTTGTTTTGGGGCAGGGGAATAACAGTGCCACTAACCACTTAAGTCTACTTCGTATGAGCCTCAACTTTACCACCGGTCGGTCTAGTCTTGAAGCCTCTGAACGTGAACACCCGAGACCCTTATTTGAGGTTCCTATGTCGGCTTTGGAAGAAGCCCCATCAACTCAAGAGGATGAAAAATCCCACAACCGATTCAATATATCCTGTCAATCCGCCCCAAATATCCTCGACCACCTCTTTATAAAACCCCCAGTCGCATCTGAGGTGTGCGCGCCTATTCGCGAGGAGGAAGATGAAAACAGAAATCACAGCCCAATAAAAAATGAGAGAAAAACAAAACCATTGTTCACGCAAATCTCGCTTACTGCCAAGACCTCACCTGCCGTTACGAATGGCCATCGATTGTCGTCGGTATGGAGTACCGCCACGTCGACTCACTTGCGGGCGCCAAATCGACAGCAAAATGGCCTCACTTCGTCCAATTTTTCACTTGCCTCGTTGGCGAGTAGTTTACGTGAATCACGCCACATGATGGATGTATTACGAGGAACCTATGAACTGCAGATGCAGTCACGACGGCGGACAGGCCTCTCCCAGGTTCAGACCGGCTCTAGTTTTGACGGACTGCCACCACCTGTCTCCTCTTTGGTACGCAGTTTAACGCTAATCAATCAATCGGGGATATCTGTTTCAGCTAACGCCTCTCTACGAAGACCGCGAGTTAACGTCCCCCCTCCCGCCCTTCGACAATCGTCCGCCTCTCCCCCTCCCAGAGTGTCAACAGCTCCCTCTACCACCGCATTCAAGACTAATTCTTGTAAAGAGTCCTCGTCACCAAACGGGGATATTCATCATGCAGTGTCGTCGGCGTCCTCAGATTCAATGGCAATTGCAAATTCCCTGTTTTATCGTCCCCCGTCATCTAACTCGCTCTCTGCCACGAAACTTGACTATCCTCTTTCACCTCCCCCTCCGCCTCCAATTCCTGAGGAAGGTTCGAAACCTGTCCGACTTTTCGCATTTCCAAAAGGGAAATTTAACCTCTTTTGTGATAAAACTGCCGCTGGGGATGGTGTCTCGCAATTTCGTTGGAAAAAATGTACGCGTAGATCTCGGAAGAGTAGTAGAGATAACTCCGCGACTTGCTGTCAAATTTCGTAGTATCAATGCGGACACTGCGATTGTACAATCAGATAACTTTTTTTCTCTTTTTCTCTTCCTCCTTGGCTCTTTGCTTCCTTCTTTGGCCATTAATTAGGTCGATAGGATTTGCACTCTGTGTACCTAGCAGCGTAGCAAAGTAAATACTAGTACTGCAGATTCCACTGCGACTAAAACTAAGTGGCTACTCGTACTGTACCTTTTATTTTACTTTGGGTTGGTAAAACCAATGTCTTTCTTTCTACCTAAAATCGCCTTATTATTTCGTTAGTTTGGGGGGCCTGACTGAATTCGCGTACACTATGAACTAGAGCACGGTTGCATATTGCAAACTTAAGTTATGATAGGTTTCTATTGCGTAAATCAAGGGTATTATTAAATGAGTACATTGGGTATTTCACTATAAGCCTATTTCGGGAATGTATCGTTTACAGAATGTCGAGTGATGTCTGTGTTGCACTCGAGGACTGAAGGCTTGTCCTGTTCTATACTTTTGACTGATACTGAAATCTGTTGAAAAGCTCAATGATTTATAACGTGATCCTTCTCTCACGTTAAATGAAACGAAACTTTGAGATAACACAGCAAGTATTGGATAAAAGGAACCCAAGTTGTTGTCTGCAATTTCTGGCTGCTTGGAAATCTCAGTGAATGCGTGCCCAAGATCATTCACCAGGAGTCGCAGTTGCTAACTTAATAGGCTTCAGCAGGTAAAAATCAGGCTAAAAGTCAACGACAGTTCATTTATCAATCCGTTTAACAAGTGGGACGTTCCGGTTTCATTTCCTTATTATTGGCACTAGCCTTATTGAATCACTTCAAGCAACACACCTAATCTTAAAATGGTAACTTTGTGTCATATTATGGTTCTAGCAGTACAAAGCCCAGAATAATGTCAGGTAGTTGATTAGTTAAATGGAGTCCTCGACTGCTCTGGGACACTATAATCTGTATAACATTTACCTCGGTTACGGTTGATGGAGATTTTTGTTGCGTTTTTTTTGCCCCAAATGCCTTAAATCTAGCATTTTGGGCTTTCTCGTCACTTCCCGTCCGGTCTGTCGGTCAGACTTGTTCATGTGTCGAATAAATTGGACTTACGGCAATGGCATCAAAATTGTATCAATTGGAGACTTAGCATACTTGGTACCGTGACCAAGAACGACGGTGGGCCTCTGCGCGGAACAGTGTGTTCGCAGGTTTCGGTCAGCCGATCAGTGCTTAAGTTTGACGTGGGTTTACACAACACTCGGATTCACGCCCACAGATTGCCTTGTACAATGCGTCTGTTTATTGTCTTAGAAATGATGGAGGGCCGTTCCAACTAACAAAATGTCTAACTCCGACTTTAGGTCGCAGTCATTATGGCCACACACGCTACGCGTTTTGGCTTTACACCATTCTTACCCCTTTAAGATGCCACAGTTGATATAGAAAAAAAATAGCTCACTTTAATTTGGAGCAACCACTCATTATTTTCGAGATTGAACACGTGTGCCCGGCCAGACGCCTTATTACTTGATTAAAAAATGGCTGAAAGTGCGGGTCGCTGTAGGCGTGAGAACTTTCAGGTGCTGGTAGTTTCCTCCGATGGAGTGTTTGCGTGTGTGTGTGTGTGTGTGTGACGTTAACCATACGCCGCCGGCTCTTCTCCTGTTTGATGGGTAGTTCCCGATCTGGTAAACAATTGTTCAACATATAATCTTAACCAGAGGACGTACTGGTGGATTTTAAGAAGCACACGGCGACTCGTTTGCCAATTTATTTGGTGTGGGAAGTTAAATCGCCATTTTCTTTGGTCAAATTTGTACACCGGTTGGATCTGTACCGGGAAGAATGGTTTTCTAGTTCGTTGTTCCAATCATCAATTTGTGAAAGTCAGTTATTTATTAACTCATGCCCCACTTGTGTGTTTTTCGAGTCCGATTGGTAAACAGGACTTGGCGGTTGTGGAAATAATCACATCAAACCATGTTAATTATAATGTTAATGGCTGAATTATGGGGACTCAAAGCGTAAATATCCGTTTTTCGTACTACAAAACTTAAATTAAATGTATCTAAAAAATAAAGATACTTATATAAGGAGAAAAACTAGTGATACTTGGACGCAGTGCTTGATTGCTCTTAGCATGCTTTGAAATAACACGGAGGCGTCAGTAGCAGTTCAACTGCTTCAAATGTGCATCGCATACCTGCAGTGAAGCATCCGTATTTCCGGAGGTTTGAAGTAGGCGATGTTGTTTGTGTGTAACATTTAGTCTCCTCACAACGGTGCCGTGCGTGGCCGCCAGAAAATATCAATTGCCTTCAGGTGCCCAAGGGCACAATGCAATAGTTCTCAAAAAAACATTGCCTTTAAGTGATCGATTTCCTCACATTACTAATTTGTACTTTACGGAACTTACTTATGCGTCATTTTGCCCCTTTAAATGCTATACTGACAACAAGTTAGCGAGTTAAAGTAAGATATCTCCAGAACTGCTGCAGAAACGACAAGTTGTATTAAAATAGGTCTTCAAAACATTTGCGTACAGCATCTGATTTCGTCAGAACTTGTACGCAAGTTGTAGCGTCGATGGGGACTTTCAGCTCTACGTCTCTGCTTCCTCTGTTTGACATAAAAATTACTTAAGCCTATCAGTATTGTTGCTAAAGTCCGGTTACCTGCCATTGTCAAGAGGCGAAAGTATTTTTACGTGCTAGATTAAACGGTCCTTTACAGCTTTTTGACAAAATGACGCGGTACTGCATGAGGCTAAAGGGTAGCAGTGTACAGGCAATTAAACCAAGTTTTAAGTCATAACTTATTTGCAAGTTTAAAAAAAATCAGATTTTACTATTTACAGAATCTGGGATTTTAGATTAAGAGCAAATGGGTTGAGTGAAATCGTTACAAGGAAGGATGAGGCCACTAAAGGAAAAAATGTTCGCATTCGACGGAGGCAAGGTAAAATCGTGACCACGTCCGTCATTCGCAATGTTGCCGATCGCGTCTGCATCGCGGTCCTGTTCGTGCGCGGTTACCACGTTTGAAAGGGACCTACTTACATATAGTCAGTCAACAGAGGACCCAGCTAGCACCGCCATGTATGAGGGATGCACCAGCCATGCATTACCCTGGAAGCGATTTTGAAATCGACAAGCAGTGGGTGCCGACGGCGTTCAGTTAGTTTTTACATGGGAAAAGAATCGTCTGCAGGATGCGTTAGCCGTAAAGTTCCCAACTTGTTTGAATTTCTTCAGGTATCATAGTGGCTTGTTGCCAATCGTGCCCAAAATATCATGTCGTTTAAATTTTCAATAAGCTCGCTTTTCTGTTGCATGGTCGTATGCACTTTGATAACAAAACAAACCCAAATTTATTGCACATTACAGGACAACCGGCTGTGGGATCCAAAATGAACTGCTAAAGGCTTCCTCTAGATATCTGGTCACTTTAATGCATTGAACAGGCGTTTATCATAACTCAAAAAACACATTTAGTCTTCATGGCTGAATCACCCTAGTCATGAAAACAATCGGACGAAATTCATTTTTTACAGTTGCTATCGGTGGGGAAATCCGGGAAGATTACAAGAGGCACTGACTCAAATTATCCGCAGGCAAAGAAACTGCGAACAATACTTGCGGCTGGAAAAGGTGAAACGGAGATCTATGTGCTGGGTGTCTAGCCGGTTATAATCCAATAGCCTAACAGTAAACACTTCGTCCACAATAGCTAGCTCTGAGTTTCGTAACACCCCACAATGTTTTTGACTTAGGAGCTAAGCACTACCCATCGCACAGTTACCAATCAATTTTACGTCTCAATCGGCCGCCACCCTGAGGAATCATAGAATGGCCGCCAACCCTTCTTCGACCACATTAAACAACGCTACGTGATGTAACATCTTTTCCCGGAACAAGCGACCATAATGATTTGAATTGTAGCTGCACATTTCCGACACAAATATGAAAAACGGTTGGCTATAAATTTATTCGAGTAAGTTAACTGGAGAAATCCTAGGAAAGTGTTATGCAAAATGTGATTTTGGTGTTAACAAATAAAAGTAGGACTTTTACGAGTTCTTCGCGCCTTCTTTCAATTCTGCTTCAGCCTGGTCAGCTCTGAAGAGGGCAAAGTCGTGTTGACGGTCGAACAGCTTAATCTAAAAAATTAACACAAGATTACACGAGTCTCAGTTTTGTTCGTAATGCACACAGGTTTTCTATGGGTTGGTGCATTTCGGAAACTTGGCACATTTTCTGAGTTTTCAGCGACAAACTATGCGTTGAAATTTGATAGGTTTTCTTAGGGCCAAGGTTTTGACAAAATTGAATTAACCAATGAGATCTTGTGTTCAGATATGCCGCTACGAAAATCTGCATTCCCGCATACGTTGACACGTCTTTTCCAGTTATTAATTTAACGTGTTTTGTAAGAACATGGGTCTCCATGCCAATGCATGCGACCTTTGACATTTGAACAAATCTAACGCCTTAGCATAGACAGCACTGTGGGAGTTGGTTAAGCTGGCATTTCGTGTAGACCGATTCGTTTTGCCCTTCTGAGGATCTGACCCCTTAGGAGAAACCTGGCCAATGAATTCTTGCTCTAATTAAGCTAATTTTCAGATCAATTATGGATTTACTTGCACTATTTTTGCTAAAACCGAGACAAAACAAAAGGAGAATTTAAAAAGAATCTGATTTATTTACTTTAGTGCAATTCGTGATTTGTACATCACTGTAGGGCTGAACTAAGTACGTTGAATTTAGTCTGATTTTTTCGCTCTAGCAGAATTCTGCGATGTGTGCTGGTGGCAGCATTAGACGGATCTGGTTGATTTTGACTGCATTAAGAAAACGATTTTGCCTAAGTTACCCACCACTCATGTTCCAAGTTTCGTCTATTTTAAAAAATAAAGCGCACTGGCCAGCACTACTTCTGGCAAAGATTGGCAAAAGAGTACAAAGATGTGATGAGTCACTGACAAGGAAAGTTTGACCGTTACTTTTAGATGTTTCTTTTTTAAATCTAGACCAGTCACAAGTCTATGCAGATCAGGATTTTTGACTTTCGCTAGCCAGGAAGTTTAATAGCACAACTGACAGATATATCCGAGACACAGAACGTTCGAAGGTAATTAGTTCCCAATACACTATAATAAAACTAGTATAATGCCAGTGCCCATTGGCGTGGCTATTGACCAAGCTAGCCAGAGAAGCGGCTTTAAGCAGTGGTTATATTGAGAGAAAACACTGTAAAAGAGACAGCGATAGATAGACTCGCTTAAAACGGACCCCATTGTGGGGCGGCGTGGGGGGAAGTGACAGATGAAAAGGAGATCCTTTTAACTAGCCTGCTCGATGTTCAAACCAATTAAACTGTGACGCAGTATGGAGCACAAGCGTAAGTCTAGAGCCCGTCAAACGTTTTAACTTGTGTTTGACTGCAGGAAGCAAGATTGTCACCGCTGACCTAGGCTGCCTCGAAGCAGCACGGGATTGTGCCTCATAAGAGGTGGTGGGGAAAAGGGGCCACGAGCATTCACCCCCCATAAAGTACATACCCAGGAATGCGGGCAGGCGGCCTCATAGGTTTTACGAAGAGCCTGACACTGTGACACGTTAACCGTGTCTGCCAGCTCCTCCGGAACTTCACGGCCCTCGGAATAGGCGTCCTTAATACATTTCCAGAAGGAGTCACGCGCCGCCCAACAGGCCTCCCTTTCTTCCTTATTCGGAGCTGCTTTTTTGAAGATACTTCCTGAACTAGCCATCTGATAAAAACCATAAGACCTTATTTGTCGCGATAAAAGGAAAAGCATTCTTTATAAAACTTCAAGCATTCTCTCATGGACTCTATTGTGCTACTAGCTTTTGCATGTAACTGTTGGGGTATTAGCGTCACCATGACTACTTTTTCCAGATTTTGACCATTTCATATTTTTCATTGCCGTTCGACTTTATATACACACCACTTTGTGTACTTAAATTGGCCATCCCTTTCCTGTTTGTCTATTCATCTATGAGTGCACGATGACTCAAGGGGGCCCACGCCATGTGCCTGCAGGCGCCTCTCAACGCGCGCTCGACCTTTGGCTAAACTAAGGAAAGGGCTCTCGGCGCGGGGTAGTGCCCTAGTTTGGGGGGCGGGAGGAGGGGGACAGCGACTCGTCGTGTTAGTGCACCAGTGGTTGACGTGCTGGACAGGGAGTTCAATTATTTGCACTCGGGGCTTTCCATGTGTGCACCAGTCGCATAATACGATAACCCATATGTAACTCACTACTATGCGCTGGAAGACAAAAAACGCCCATCAGCCAGCAGATAATCCATTATTTTGTACAACACCATGTGGTATCTACGAGGCTGCACTCAACTATATCCATAAGTTTCTAACAGGAATGGAGAGTTACCGATGGCAAATTCTCTTGTCTCGTGAGTGAAAAAGCTGAGAATCGTGTGGTCTCGCTGGTCTAGATCCACATATCCGAATGTCACAGGACTTGATTCTGTGCTTAGTGCAACACTATGAGCACGGAGTACGGCAGCCACTTGGGCAATTGGCGTGGAACTGCAAGCACTCGAAATACGGATAAAATCATTGTGCCTGCCAACAATGAATTTTGAGTGGCCAAAAAGAGGAATCATTCCCGAAGCTCAAAGATAATCGAAAAGGCCTGGTTTACTCAACAAGTCAAAGGCGCCACCAATTAAATGGATTAAGAGAGGTCGCAGGTGCAGCAGTAAGCCACAGACAACAAGCACAGGGAGTTGTGAGATCAATTCAAGAATAACACCCGAGCATGTGGCTGAATGAACTGAGTAGTCCCTTGACTGTACGCCCAAAATACCCAGGAAATTATTTTCTAAAATCCAATTCCTGTGGCGACTCCTTTCTGAAACATTTGACGGACACAATTGATCAACATATGGCAATTGTCGCAATTTACGCCTGCCCTTTCACTACAGGCATGGCGTTTAAAGCTACCAAAAGCGTATTTCAGCAGCTTGGATGAAGCATTCAAGCCTTGGGTTGATTTTTTAGCCAGTAACCAGCACAACATACCAGCAAAAACACAAAACACACCGGAGAATAAATTTTATTGTTTGTACAGGCAACGGAGTGGTCAACATCTCCGCTGTTGTCCGAGGAATTGGTGGGAGAACGTTTAAATCCTAAAATAATACCAACACAAAATACTGAATGAATTATTAATATTACATTGAAAACTGTATATATTTATAGTACGCTTCCTGAGTGGAATTGTTCAGTGATAAAAACCAGACCCGTAATGCCTGGGACACTTGTCGCAAAACCGATTACACATACTGACTTGGTGAAATACTCAACCTTAGACATGCCGAAAGACACACAGACTTGGCATTTTAAAAGAATGTTGACAACTATTTGGTTTTGCACAATTACGATGATGAATTTATTGTTCCTACCCTGAAAATCAGTACCAGATTAAGCACCCCATCAAGCCATCCCCTAAGTGTCGCATATTTTGCTTCGTAGGATGGGTCTTTTCTCAAGGCACACACAACATAGCGTCGGCACCCTAACTTGTCTTTTAGGTGGAGGAGGGGGTCGAACTCTGGCTAACAAATGACATAGGAGCAATACTTCACCATGAACTTGGTAGTTTACAATACTGGGGATTATTACCCGCAATAGCTATAAAGGCAACGTCCATTAACACGGACGGTGACCGCAATGCCTAAAATATATCCTTAGATGAAGACCAAATTATCAGAATTCCGATTCTCCAGTTCTGCGCCGGCAGAACGCAAACTATCCAATGTGGGGTCCAGACAACATACCGAATATTGCGTTAGAAGGAACACTGACAAGAAGTATGCATTTCTACAGGAACAACACTAAGCTATGTTAATCGCGGTAAACGTCTGACTTGATCGACAGAGTTTATGACCCATGTTTGATGTACCCATAAAAGGAACGTCTGCGAAAAAAATTTGAACCTCACCTCTTGACAATTTGGACAACATCTTCGTCATCGAGAATGTGGTCCTTGCCAACTCTCTGAGGCTGGTGTTTTACTGATGAACCCCAAACAATAGCACTAAAAAACACAAAACAGAAATATGTGGGGCAAAACGAGATTTGGGACCGCAACTTGTGGACCTGAGATATCGGTTACTCTGCTGGCCTATTAGCCAAATACGGAGTCTATCTGCAAGTCAGAATTATGAGATATGCGATGTAATTGCAGGCAGGGCGCCCCACCCATCGCGAAACTGAAATGCATTCAAAAACATCCAGCATATTCTTGATGCCATGAATAATTCAGGTAAAATTTGAAGAAAGGCACAGGATACCCGAGTAAAGACAGAAACATCCGTATAAGAAAACCCTTAGGTGCTCGGAGTGCATGGACATCAAAATTCCTTTACGTAGGCACAAAACCGAATACGTCAAACAGAAAAATTTAAAGCATGGGAGCAGGTTGCATGAGACCAATAAACATAGAAGGCCAATTACAATGTTCTAAGGGATCAATCCAGACACCAAACAGGATAAAAAATTCGGATCAGAGGACCGACAGCAAGTGCCCTCAAATCAATATCTTCATCTAAAAAGAAATTCGTTTTATTCAAAGAAACCAATCTAAGCATAAGGTGCCATCCAGACATTTCAAAGTGAATATTGACAAGCGGAGTCTAGGTGAAAATTCATCAACGATCGCATCGAAAACTAGAAAACAGCAGTTTGGAAGACCAGGAGCGCATGTCCACATGGCGTTTAAACTCACCTTCACAAAACACGTGCGTGCCTTCTTTAAATGTCGACTTAAACGTTGGCGTTGGCAGAAAATCTGATTTCAAACTACGATACAAATGTATAAACCCTGTCAAGTGCACAGAGGATTCTCGTAAGCAATCGGCTTCTACTAGTCTACTACAGATAATGATCTCAGAGCATAAGTTCTCGCACTGAATAACCAAACGAGAAACGGAATTCATAAAAGAAAGTAAAACAAGGAAAATCTACTCACTACTTAAACTCCTTGATGATGTTCCTATGAATTTTATTGCAAAAATCCTCGACAGTATGCGCTACTGATTTAAGAATAACCGGGGAAGTATAATCAGGTAGCTGACCTTTCGGTTTCGTGTAGATACGAACGAGATTGAGATAATCCCACATTTTTTCCAACAACTCATCAAAATTCCATTTGTGATGCGCCGAAATCGGTACGCAATGTGGGACTCTACCAAATATCAATAAATTCGTTTGAGGCATTAAAAACTCGAAAGGGCATATGGCTAACACAGTTCTAACCTGCAAATAATATCAAGTTCCTCAATGGAAATTTGATCGATTTTATTAAGAACATAGATGCAGGGGACATAAACGCGATTTCCTTCAATCACATCAATTAAGTCTTCAGCAGTAGCATCACACTTGAAAGTGACATCCGCATTGTGGATCTTGTACTCATTCAAAATGGTCTTGACGGTGTCTTTGTCAAGCTCAGTAAGAGGAACAAGGGACTGAAAATTAATGCCACCCTTGTCTTTTTTACGAAAAGAGATATTAGGGGGCTCTTTATTTAGTCGAATTCCAAAGCCCTCCAACTCGTGCTCAAGAAGACGCTTGTGTTGAAGAGGCTTAAGAACATCAAGCACCATCAGGATTAGAGAACAAGTTCGCGCCACGGCAATGACCTAATAAGGTTAAAAACACAGGTAAAGGACTTAATACGCGAGAAATGTAAACCCAGTAGCCGAGAGGCTAACATTAATTGGAAACTGTTTCTAAATTAAATAAGATTAATGTGAAAATGAAGATTATGAAACAACTTCGGACGCATTTCAACTTGAGCCTCATTTTTGGTGCACAGTGAAAAACTGCCATGTTTTGTTCAGCGCAAACGGTCAACTAAATTATCTAACTTATTTTGGAAAGTACAAGGGCATGCCTGTTATTAACAAAAAAAGCTATATCAGCATATTACTCAAATGGAGATATTTAGTAAAAATAATGTGGTCGCACCTGCTTACCACGACCTTTGCCGTCCTTAGCTCCTTCAATAATACCAGGGAGATCCAGGAGCTGGATTTTGGCGCCCTTATAACGAATTACACCTGGTACTGTGGTCAGGGTGGTAAATTCATATGCAGCCACCTCGGAGTAGACGCCAGCCAGGTTGGTCAGCAAAGTAGACTTTCCCACAGAAGGGAAACCAACAAATCCAACACGAGCATCACCAGTTTTGGCAACATCAAAACCTTCTCCACCACCGCCACCACCGCCCCCTTTAGGTTCAATAAGCTCGCGACGAAGCTTTGCCAAACGAGCCTTCAAGAGGCCGATATGGCCCATGGTCGCCTTGTTTTTCTGCGTCCGGGCCATCTGTAACAAAACGTAAATGGCATTAGCTGGAAAAATCACACTCTGAGCTGCAGACTAACTTAAAAGAAACACCACTAAGCAAATTAGGTGATAAACTTGACGCAACCGCGAGAAGACACGTTCTGATTCTGCCTTGATCAACAGAAGCAATGAATAGCACACTACGCTCGTTATAAACCAAAAAAGATAACAGACTACTTGCAACAAGTAATGTTATGTTCTATGTGAACTGGATGAGGGGATGAAATTACGAATTTAAGGGGGTTAGCCAACAGTGTAGTCTGGGTTTATAAGATACAACAAATTACAAGACCCTCACACTGCATTTCTTGAAAAAAAAACCCATTATTAGGAAAAGAGCCTACCTCAGCCTCTATTTCGGCGATTTTCTGCAGTATACTCATGCTCACAAATAAATGAAACAAAAGTGCTATTTGAAGCTCAGCACTATACTTCATCCACAAAGAGTGAACTTTTGTGATAGACACCTAGTGCTTAGTGTTTTGAAATCTTGAACTAGCTGTAATTATTAAATAAGATTTGGCTACAAATTCACAACCCACGAATGTAAAAAAAACATGTGCGAGTACTGCAAAGGTATGCATATAATAATGCTCCTGATGGGCAATTTTAGCCTAAGAGGTCAGTCGCCTGGGCTCGTCATTCAATTGTGGTGCTTCCTCGCGTTTTTGTGATTATCAATTTTTGCGATCTGCTTGTTCGTATTGAAAACTGCGACAATTTCCATTGAGTGTGCCATGATTTTTTAAACCAATATCTATTCATCATACCGTATGTAGAGTTCACGCCTTTGCTTTTAGTCAATTAATTTTTCGTGCAAAAGGCTGTAACCGTTAGTTTTTGATAAAATTATGTATTTTTTCTACTTTTTTGAACAAACTTAACAGGCTATCATTTTCGCTGAACGGCCAGATGAAGCCTACCAAATGAAATGGTGGTTGGCTGGTCCACGTATTTCACTAATTCTTCTTTTCGACAAACAATCACAGTTTTATGCATTACCCCTTGCTTCAACCGTTTATATAGTTCTGGTGTAGATTCTCGGCTTTTCTGACATGTAGTATTAGTGTTCCTTAAACTCGTTTGGAAAAAATTGTATTTCCTTTAAATAACTAAGTCCCGGTTCTGACAGTTATCTTATGTGTTGTGCAAGCAATCTTTCTGGTATTTTGTATTATTTTGTTTGCAGATGTTCTATTTATTCTAAACGTGTATGGTATGCCAAAAAGGAAGGCCAATGGAGTGCTGATTCCTCCCTTGGAGTTCGTTGGCGATGGTCCAGTGGGTAAAGCACCCTTTAATCCCGACTTCGTTCAATGTACTGCTAAATATCCTCGAGTTCGAGCTGTTACCTTAAAGGAAATTCACCCTTGGGTAATTCAATTTTCTGGCGTTTTTTTAATACTCCATTTGACCTGCATGGCTCATACCAATATAATATCAGTATTTGCGAGTCTTCCTCACTCGGACTAATTATACGTTTTTGTCTTTTGCGCTTTTTGCAGATTGAACCTCATTTCGATTATTCGCAGCGCCTGTCTTTGCGTCCACAAGGGACCACTTTAGCCAACGAAAAGACTTCCACCACCCGAAAATGTGGCGCTGTAAGCTTAATTGGACCACTTGAGTTTTCATCCAGTGGTCAAGTCGTTGATAAGATTCAAAATAATTCACTGAAGGTGGGTACAGTCCGAGTTTTGCGATGTAACTGTTCAAAATCATTCAAAGTGTTTTCTAAAAGCAGATTATTTTCTGCACGTGTTTTTGCTATAGCTGGAAAAATGGCAGTTGCGCTAACCGACAGTTGAATTCAAACCAATGACAACCAAAAGTAATCTGGACCTTCCTAAAAATATTGTGTACTTTTCTGTGAACTTTAACCCAGCTCTTTTGGCTTACGTACCTTATTTGTTGTAGAGGATGCTACTGAAGCCTCACGGAATAAACAGCCCCCTAAAACCACTCTTAAATTGTATCATTTAACTTACTGGGCTTACGATTTACTTTTAAGTGCTAACTTTCCCTTTACCTTTAGACCAGTAACCAGTGCCCTCTTGTGCCTCCAAAAACGCCAAATCAGAAGCCATTGTGTGGAGAAATTTTAGTCTGTGAGAGTCCTCAACGATAGTTATTTGCATGAACTTCCCTTTTTTTCATGGACTAGACCCGGACACTTGATTAACCTAATTCCATTGAAACCCATGAATTTATTACTACCAAACTATGACATTGTAGTCATTACCTAATTTGTATTTTTACAGGCGACACAGCATAAAGCATTACTTGATCAAATTTGAGACGAACCTCATGGGAAAAATTATTCCCATGTATTCTGGTTTGTGGTGGGTCTCATGAAGTCTTCCTTTTTTTTTCACTGGTTCGCTTGTGCCGATTTATCAATTTTATTAGCAAATCCACTTGGACGCTATTTCGCAGTAGCCTCAACGCAAGCAGTTAAGTTACCCTACTTGAGTTAACTTATGTCTACTTTCGTTCAGTTAATACCTATTTAGGGCAGGGGAATATCCATTTGTCCTTGCATATTTCGTTCCTCGACCCCAGAACAAATAATGTTTACTGATAATGTTGGCTCCGCTCACCGCCCGAGTGATAGCAGAGATGTTGGCTTTAATGCGGTTTATTCACGTATTTGGTCTAAAGCGTTGAAGATCTTAGAATGCAGAATCACCTCTGTAGTAGCTTGATCTTAGCACTACCTTACAACCCTCTAATTAACAGTCCAAGACAACTCGAGTAGAGTGGAGAAGAGGCGAGATCGGACACGACTGGTTTATTGATGTCAAAACAACCAAGTGGCTTTGTGTGCGTATGAGTACGCGTGCGTAACAGACGAATGCTGACAAAATCAATAACAAAAGGGATGAGTCATCGCTGCACACAGGCCTTCATGCACGCACACTCGCGCGAGGCGGCTGTCAGTCCACTACACCTCCTACTTCTCTGTATTATCGTCTGGGTCATAACTGTTATCCACTAAAAATACTGCCTCCATACGTAACAGGATATTGGAATACAGCCTGTTGATCTGCACACAGTATACTTAAATACAAGGTTCCTGGTGGTGAATGTGTAGTAGCTAGATTTTCAGCACTACCTTACAACCCTCTAGTTAAGAGCCCGTAAGTACCCAAGGAAAGAAGGAAAAGTGGCGACAGAGATCACGACCTTTAATGGCGTCAAACCAGCCAAGTGGCCTCGTGTGCGTATGAGTACGCCTGCGTAATAGGCGAATGCTGATAGGGGCCAATAACAAAATGGTACACTCGGACCCTCATGCACGCATCACTCACGCGAGATGGCTGTCAGTCCACTACAGATGCCGCGGTTTTTGCCTATGAAATTAACGAGTCATAGTGTGATGGATCGAGTTTAGTAAAATTGGTAGAAACCCTGGTTTTGGTTAAAATAGCCCTCTATTTTTCCAAGACAGATGAACTGATAACGCTGGATGGTCAGTTCATGGGAGTTCTCTCCAATAAGCCATTGTGATCCACATCAAATAAGTGTTGAGGCACGCCCTCCACTTCTCACAATTACCTTCCCAAATGTGAACTCTCTTTACTTTACATTCCTCTGCACAGAACCTCCCTGTCTTAGATGTGTTTATTCATGATGACCGCATATTTACTGGTTTTTCTGAATTCAATTGGTTGACAGCCTCCTTCACTCGAATATCTTCTGTTCATAACTTTATGTGCACAATGCACGCCAAAAACGATAAAATTTGACCATCTGATATTCTCTTATGTCTCCTAAAGCTTCGATCTTCTTAATCTTCCCTGGCATCAGCAAAGTTTGATCGCTTTCATTAAGTGAGTTGACCCAAGTATGTTTCGAGATTCATATTAAGTTTTACTAGCGGCGATGGAGCTAATATAACCATATAGGAGTTTCCAATGTCAACGAACATATCTGCAATATTATTGCTGTTAGTGAGGATATAACGCAGTAAATACATGACCGATAAGAGTATTCGTCGTCACGGCAATCATATTGGGATAGATTTATTGACGAAGCCCTGAAGTTCCGCAATAATTACTATCGGATAAAAAATTTGAGTGCGAAACATTTTCACATTGTGTCATTAGTCTTCGTTTTAAAAACCTTAAAGGTGACAGTGATTGTCCATACCATACAGATTTTCGGAAACATAATTTAGGCATCAAAAAGTACACGATTCGCTGCGATGTATTATAGCGACGTATTTATGAAGATACATATTGGATAACGCCGGTTGTGCCCAATCCTCTGCCTCTTTGCGTTCCAATAAAAAGTGAGAAAAGAAATGGAGCCAAACAAGAGACAGACACGCATAAAAAGCAGTTTATAAAATGCGGCGCAGTTAGTGTGGTTGACTCTGATGGGCGGCGTCTGACATTTGGTTCTGGGTTGTAATTGTCCAATAAAGCCTCTTCTATTGTACCAGTCTTCTTTAAGCTAGAGCTTGAGTATTCCACATATGATAATTAGGGGCGCAGCCAGTTTGTATCGAACAGAGCTCAACCAGTCCAACATCCTTCTGCTCCTGAATGGCCTAAGAGGACAATCAATCTGACTTATGATTTATCAGTAAAGCCGATTCTGTTGAAGCAGCTTTCGTCTCGCATAATATTGCCTCAAACTCTTGATAGTCCCGTCATATGGGGCAGAATCACGGCGGGCCCGTCGCTTTGTAATGGCTTAATTGGGTCGCACACAGCGCTGACACAACAAGGTTAAACCATTTAAGTAACGCTTATGTCAACGCAATCTCCTGCCTTTGTTATCGTCCTGAGTGTATGAGTAGCGCAGTCTTGCCAATGCAAGGCAGTGGACAACGTGGGATTCGAGACGAAATGCTGAGGTATTCCAAGTATTCGCGATTAAGTTTCAAAGAATATTATATGTATATCCTGACATAGAAGTGACCATAACGATCTCTGAGCCACCGACCACTATCCTAAATTAGTTAAGGTTCATTTTTCACTTTCTCTTAGTGAAAGGAACTACAGTTCGACATGTCGATACCACACAAATTACACTTCAATTTACTGTTCTTTAATGAACGACAGCTGGAATTTGTATGCATTCAACCTTTCGCAATTACCAATTGTCCACACATTACAGTAATATAGCGCAGTCAAGTAGGCAGATAACTAAGAGAAAAATTCAGTTCCTAAAGAGAATAATATACTTTATTGGATACGGTAGAAACAAAATTGCGATTTGCAACGGTGATTATTATTTAATTGAGTTTGCTTACACTTATCTCATAAAAGCCTTAAGTTTTTAATTCACATGTATTTACACAAAGGAAAATATATTTCGTTTCACAATTTGCAAATGAACAATTGTTAAACACTGGTTAATAACCTAGTTAAGAATGTGTAGTTAAAAATTTTCCACTCTGAGGTAAATTTTCGCAGTTGAATAAAATTGACGCAGTTAGCATTAACCTTTTAAAAAAGTTCAACTAAGTCATTTAAGTTACCGGATATGACTTTATCTTTCCCGCGCACTTTCAAAAAACTGTGTTGGTGTGCGTGGTTGGCGTTAGTGATAAGAAATCAGGACCGAGTCGTTGTGCATATTTCATCATGTCTGACCTAAATGCTCTGTTTCAAGCTACTATGTGCCATGGCTATTTTCCTAGTTTTCATATCTTTGAAACAGCATTAATGCGTCTTGAAGAGGAGACTGGGATGTCGTTCACTATTCGCGTTAGCAAGAAGATTAGGGAGCCTGTTGAAGATGCTATCCGGTTTAGATATCGTCGAATGCGATACATTTGCAGTTTAGGTGGCACCTCTCGCACTGCTGGGGCAAAACGAACGCATAAATGTGGCTGTCCTGTTTATTTTGAGGTTGTACTCAAACCCACTGGACTTAAGGTGTCGAAATACAGTATGCTGCATTCGCATGCAGTCAGCCCCGACTCGGTTGTGCCTCCAGATGAAAGAAGGTGCCTCAATGAAGAAGAGGAAGAATTTGTTAATGGCCTAATCCTTATAAACACCGATAACCAAAATATCCGACGAATTGTTCGCAGTGAGTTTACTTTTGCTATTTTTGTATTGTTGAATCCTGTCAGGTCTTGTATATGTTCTCTTGCTGTGTTCTCCTTTAGACAAATACGGAAAGCAACTCCATATGAAAGATCTAAACCGGTTAAAACTGAAATTGGAAATCAACAGCCGTCAGTTTTGAAGGCATTTTTGTGTTCTCCCGCTGTGTAAGCGATAAGGTGCCCAATTGAACTGCACCAAGTGTGTCGTACTTCGCGAAGCTTGCGGGTGCATTTGTCTTTCATCGGTACATTTCTGCACATCCACTCTTTTATTAAAATCATGATATGTGTCACCCCACATATTGCGAACGTTAATGAAACCCGTATTGCGCTACATTTCGATACCAATCCTAGTAAAGGCACCAGACTTACTCAATGTATTTATATTTCTTATAATAATCCTTAGGTGTGTTAATTCTCTGGCCCTCTGTTGAATGTGAGCACTAAATTTTGTCAAAACCATTAACTAAGACATTACTGTAAACACGGAATCTTTAATGCGTTTCTTAGTTGTAGTGGGTTATGGAGTAGGGGATTTAACATTAGCTACAGTTATGTAATGTATGGTTGTTGTGGAATATGTGGGACAACAAGCTTTGGTACATGTTCTGTCAGGTTGAACTTGTTTTGTGCAGTAAAGCTAGCATATAATCACAGGTTTTTCCCATATTTTTGTGAAGTTTCTGGTCTCTCTAGCTGCAGTTTACCCAATTTACAAGATTCATATGAAAAATCGACCTTATTTAATACCGTCAAGCTCTCTGTCAGAGTGTGTACAATTGCCACACTTAGTCAGATCGATTTTAACCAATTTTTTGCGACGTTTCGTCACTAATCTTTAGGCTATTACTGTCGTTAATTTTCGCTGACCAATGACTGGACCATCGAGGACTCCATGTACGAACTTTTAAAGGTTTCTGATGATCTAGAACTATATTAATCTGAAATTTTGATGAATTTGTCCCCAAAAGTTTAAATTTAACCATCCCTTAAAGCGCTATGAGTAGTGCTTATCTCTGATTGCTGCAGTCTGGTTGGAAGTGGGGTGCTGATTATCTAATATATTGGCTTAAGTTGATATCATTTGAGGTCTTATATCTGGTGGACTGTTTTTGGCAGCCTTTCTTCTCAACCTTTTTTCAAACACGCCAAATGGTACTCTGTCCTCATTTTTTGACTGTCATCTCATGCGTTAAAAACAAACTGCTGCAGCAAGGCATTTCCTGACATATTACCAAAGTTTTGACAATCACTTTTGGTATCAACTCGTACTGCTTGAGGGTAGCCTTTAACCTGCGGAAAATCCAGGTGTCGCGCCACTTTTATTTCTAAGATATTACAGCTACTCATACAATTTCCGTAGGATGGATTGGATTCAACGCGATGAGAAACGTCTTATTTGAACACTACAGCATGCCTATCGCCAAAACTAAATAATTGGGCTATCGTCGTGTTCATTGTTATTTCGTCTCAATCAAAAGCATTTAACGTGGAAAGTGGCTCATTAAATAAGCAGAACATAATATTTTGAGTTAGCTACCAAGTGAAAATTTGTACTATTTAGGAATATAAAATCACGCTCTGCTGGTGAAAACAATGGTGTATCAAATACCTCGATGCATTCCTCAATGAGAAATTGTTTGAAATTGTCGTATGGTCCCCACAAGATCATATTTTTGTGGCTGAAGTAGAACTGCTTGGGTCGTGTAAGAATTGTTGGCTCTCGTCACAGCCGTGTTCGTTGAGTTCGTAAGCTCTATAGAAACAATTAGCCCGTTTTAAGTGGCACTGTACACCTAAAGCCAGTGTTAGCCCTCTGATTACCATGCTCACAAGGCTGCAAGTATCATCAAGGTATGCAACGAGGGTTGCGGGTTCCAGCATGGTCTGACTGTCACATTACAAAAGCGTAATGTGAAAGGGAGCATCTAGTGGCGCCATCTAGTGAGCCATTACTTCATGATTATCCACCACGAGTTTTTGTTCATATGCTTAAGAATTGCCTCAAATTTCAATCCGTCGGAGTTCGTGTCTGCCAATTATTAGTACATAAATCCTTAAAAGAGAATAAAAAATAGCTTAGTATGTTGCAGACACCTTAAAATCCTGCACTTGTAAGGTGACTATGGTAAATTTAAGAAAAACGATTGGTGGTATAACGATTACGAGGGTTGGTGTCTAATTATGAATTTACTACACTATGTAGGTTTCACCTTAAGGCATTTGCAAATTGCATATGCGACCAAGACGCTGGTACTTGTGCAGATTCTCCCTTGCACGTGAACCCACTAAGTGTAGTGGATGGAGGAATTGATGAAAATCGTAGTATTCAGTGTACCTAAAATAACGAAAAATACACAAATTGGGAGGTTGCGGTTATTTGCTGAAAGCACTAAAAATCATAGGAACTTTTTGAGGTTCTTGAGTAGAAGAGTGTAAGTGTTTGAAAAAAAATAATCAAGCTAGCTATTGACAACAATTTAACCGACACATCGTCGACTCGTCGTATTTAACAAAGAGGAAATTAGGAATTTATATTACGAAAAACAGTTTAACTTCCAGGTATCAAAAGCAGTTTTTTGGGCCTTGCGTTAACTGAATCAAAAAAAACTACACTGATGAATGCTGACCTGCCGTCGTCACGGGCTTCATAAATTCACCCTCATTGCTGCTGTCCATGAGTGGAGGTTGCCATTTCAGTTTGCTTTTTGAATGTTGTTGGGGTACCAAGGGGAATACATGACTTCAAACTACCGTATCAAAGGTAACGTCTGATCATTGAACTGTGGAGATGACCCAATGAATATGTTGGAATCGTGACTTTATTGAAGATCTAGTAAAGGGCTTTAGGATTTGAATATGGATTGTTCTCGCTAGCAGATTTTCTTATTACGTTATTTCTATATAAACTCTTAAACTTTACTGATACCAACACAATATGCCGAAGCCAAAACATCACCTAGCTTTAAGAGACTCCAGAGATACAAGCATATTTCCATGAATCACTCATACCAAGGCGTATTTCTTAATGATGCACGAATAATTTCCATTGCTTGTAAACCTACAACCCATTTTTCGTGTCACGCCTTTATGGATGCTTCTTCTCCAGAAGCTCAATTTTTAAGCTATTGATCAAGCTTTTCTGTAAGTTAATGCTGAGCTCACTGGAAAGTACATCAAATCAAAAGTCAATTTACGCTTTTACTTTCTAATCTTAGCGCCGACACCGCTGAAGCCTGGCCAGGAAACACAAAAAAACCCGTACGATGGTTTTCGTTAGCGAAAAAAAGCTTAACGAATGTTGGCTAGGCTAATGTCCTTAGAACACGAAAAAAAACGTTCATGGTGGCCATGAAATGTCACACTATCCGTACACATGCTGCCTCGTTTTATGCCTTTTTGTACATTGAAAGCACGGTTATGAAGTGCGTGAAACTAAACTCAAGCAACATAACCTGATTACGCTTATTCTTCTTTGCGAGTGTGTGTGCGTGCACACGCCATTGGAACCAGCTACTGCGCACGCAATGCATCGACATGAGCCCACCTCGCTTGTGCGCATGCAGCAACACGACCACCTGATCGATGTGCGCTCACGCTTGATTGGCAATTACTCATGCTTGTGTATTCGTAAATCCACACGCACACACGTACGCATGCTGAAGCGATGATCAAGTAGCCATCTACCCATTCATTAAATCATGGCTTCCTCGCAGCCGACACCAGATCAGCAACCCAAGGTCTACCTTCGCAACAGTGTCTACAGTACGAACGGAGCCGATGACATCCACGCTCCGTCATATGGGCAGGCCCCAGTAACCTACCGGACTGGTGATACAACTGTTTATGTTCGCCAGCCCCCTGCTGTTCAACGGTCTCCTTACCCGACCACGGATACAGGCGGCCTGCCATTCTACACCGATGAACTCACCACTGGAACTGGAACATATAATGAGATTTCCAGCGATTCGAAAGGCAGGCGCTCGAGGTCAAATCAACGACCTCATCATCACCATCACCACCAGAACCAAAGAAGGCAGCGAGTCGAAGAACCGGATGGCTACTGGATCCTGCCTCATGATAGCAAGCATGCGAAGGTACATTCAACTACGGCAGGGGCTTACGTAACTCCTGGAGGGAGACGCCTACCTCGAACACCTAAGAAGCACACGGCAGGATTGCAGGTTTTGGGAACAGAGCAAACTCAAATGGTCGGTAGTGAACAAGATGAATTAACCTCAGACTTGACCCAGGATTTGGAGGAGTACATGCAGTCGTCTCAATACCTTCCCTCTGAAGATTCAGAGATGACTGTAAATTGCTCTTTTTTATAGTTTACGTCAAGTTAAGTTTAGGGAATTCGCCTTGTAACATGAAACCTATAATTTGCTAGCTTTTATTAATTATTCGCCAATTCCACTAAAATCGCAACATACGTATTTGATGACATTCTGTATTGCGAGATTTTTAAGTCCCAATCATCCTAAACTATTAACTTTAACTCGAAATTGAACAGGATATTGGGAATAGAGACACAATTCCATCACATTTTCTTAAAAAGGATACTGGCATTTACTTTATTTTGTCCTTATTAATGCTCAAAGTGCAACCCATAACACCTTGAAATAGCCCACTGAAGTGCAGAGGAATGTGAATTTTTAGGCGGGATTCTTTAATTTATTTGACATCTGGGAAGTTGTGCAATTTATGAAAAACCATTTAATTTTGAGCTCATTGGGATGCTGAGGACCACGGGATCAACCACCACTTTCAGCTTTGCACACACACATGTCTGTTTGAACTTTGTAAAACGAAACGTTTGCTGCTGTTATTCAGTTTGTTAGGCTTTGTAAATAAAATTTATATCAAAAGCCTGCTGTAAGATGTTCTAAAATAATAATAATAGTAAATATGTTGGAACACAAGTGGTCGCTTTCAGATTGACAGTTAAGTAATTGAGCAGAACCTTCATGTTCAGTGTGGTGAATGAAAGGGTTTTATCATTCAACTGATAAGTTACGAATTAACTCTTAGCCCAATACCAATTTCATTAAAGGACATTTGAAGCTCACATTGATCTGAGTGAAGTAAGTGTTTCGGTTCTGGTTAACTTTACACAAATCCAATTAGTAGGGGGATTTGTTTATTTATTTAGACACCTATTCACGCAAACCAAATATCTAGGGATCTTCAAATCTCAAATTGAATGCGCACACCTAGCATGTCGTGAACCTTTTCCGTAGTCTTATTGAGAAGAGATAATCTATCTTGGTCTAAATTACAGTTTGGTTGACCATTACGCTCTGTCAGCTTTGCAAATTTCTACTAGGATCTACTCTTTTTATCCCTAATTGTACGTAACGCAATGACTGCATTAAAACGAAAGTACTGATAACCAGTCAGATATGCCAAGTCACTCTGACACCACCTTCAGGTAGCGGTTAAATAAAATGCGACTGATTTTAGTTAACACGAAGTCTTAAACATTCATTGTACACTATATACTCGTTAAGTAAAAATGTTTTTTTTTCTTATGTGGCCACTATTCTTTTGAGTAAATACTGATTGTTACTCGCATTAACGTTTGAATGCGAGACGTTTGAGTAACTTCTTATATAACAACGCTGTTAGCGGACTCTGTATTGAGAAAAATCAATACGACTAAGCAGAAGGCTTGAGGGCCACTGCATGACCCTGCGATTTTCCCACGCACTTTCTTCGACCGCGGCCTTAAACATTCACAATCGGTGTCAGCCAGTGACAAGGGAAGTACACACATGTGATGAAGTGTATGTAAAAGAGTAAAATGGGCTTAGTTCAGTGGAGCTTTCTACAGGCACTGCTTTTTTTGCCTTTTCCGTCACACCGGCTCATCTTTTGCGCCCACATGGAGCGAAAAACTGCCTTCCCATGGTGGATTCACATTACGCATTTTGCAATTCTCATGTAGTTTCCAAGTTTTCTAACAGAAAATCTGTTAATGATTTAATCTGTGTAGCAATTTAAATGAACACGACTTGCGTCGCTTGCGTAAATTAGAGTTAGCAAGGGTGACAGTTGATGGGATTCCCGTCACACCGGAAGGCCAGTCACAAGGTTTTTTCGGTTTATCATGTGGCTGTGCACTGTAGGTCACGTGTGCTGCCGCTTTACTCCATATGGTGGCCTGATTGTCATCACATGTATGCAAAATTTACGGTCGCTGCCTTTGGAATAGGCTTCGCTGATTTAAATACATAGCTGCTTCAATTCATAGTGGCCATCTGTGAATAATGGGCGGTTAGACGTCTTCGAAAGGCGCAAGCACTTTACTTCGATTACTGCATCGGTACTTTGCACAATGCTTCCTCATAAAGCCATACCAATTATTGTGCAAAAGCGCGGTAATTGCCAGTTTCAAATACTTGCAAAATATCAACCGTCAGAAGTTTGAATATCTCATGCTTCGCAGTTTTCACGTTTAAGACACCGCTTTACATTGCAGTTGGAGCTTACTGATACAGCCTGTTTTACATTTTATGCAAATTCTGTGACTCAGTTTGCCTGTGTGAATGCCATGTTTACCTCGTGGTTGCTGCTTGCATATACCTTTACGACGTCAATCTTAATTTAGTATTTCAATCAGGCAGAAAATTATTTGCAGTACCTTCGTGCCAATTCAATCCATCGCCTGCTGGGCCCTCACTAAAGGAGAAAGAAAATTTGAACACAATCGTCTTTTGCACCGTTTATTGCAGGAAGTGTAGTTTAAATAAATGTGTTTCAATAATTAAAGTGATTTGATCACTACCGAATTTCGTAAGTTAATTTGAACAAGTAGAGGGTAAATAACGCATGCTCTGGAAAGTCAGGAAGACTGCCCAGGTCTTAAAATGTTAGCTACAAGTTGTATTGTGTGAGTAAAAATTTGAAATTGTTAATGTTCATGTGTGGTGCAACATTAAGCAAATTACTCAGCTTAACAGTATCGTTTTAACATGCGATTGCGCTTATTTCACGGAACTGATTTTTTGGCCCTGTTATCTTTCTCAGGAGCAAATCCTAATCTGGCGCCCATAAGAAAGTACACAGTTTATTAATTTGTTGCTTGGTTAATTAAAAAAAGGCCCATTAGTACTTCACAAATACCTTCTCCATCCAAAAGGCGCTGTGGGAATGTTTGCATTTCCCCAATGAAGAGTGCAACTTTCGTATTTGTCATGCCGTTATTTTTGATAGATAACCTTCCACTACAATCCCACCGGTGATCTGGAGACGGCCTTCGACAACGACTTGCTTGTGCGATTGCAGGCGCAGTGTCGAGCATACCTTGCCAAATTAGACAAACGACGAAGGCTGGTGAGTGGCAATCAAGTCGCATTACCATCTAGTCCTTTTGCCGGTGCCTTTTGCTCACTCGATAGAAATAATTTCGTTTCTCAATTGAATTTTAATATGTGAATATCGAATGTTACGACCACAAGGCTAGATTATTATTATTAATGTCCGGTCATTTAACCCGAAACACCTCTTACAAATGACCTGACTGTGACGTGCAACCGCTTTCCTGCAAGGCACGAAGTCGAGCCACCTTGCGTGCAGCCCTGATGGTGGGGAGGTGAAATATTCAAAACGTTATTGAGCATAGTGCAATTTTAAAGGCATCGCAAAGCAAGTAGAAGCCAGGCGAAACGAGCAAAACACACCATCAATTGAACCGCGAACGGTTTGCTGTGGACCGTTTACTTCAGGCAAGCACAAAAACCAGTTACCGCACTGACTACTTCAGTGCCTAAGAGCTATTCATGCCGTCTTTTGTGCTTACCCACAGTCTTGCATATCTTAACCATTGAATATCTCTAAAACGAATAAATTTCACGTAATGTGACAAGACATTGTCTTATTTACTTAATTTTATCGACAATACATGGAGTCAAATTCTTTTTTCTATAATACAGACATTAAACGGAGTTGTGAAAATAAGACTGCAATTCTTAGCCTACTTAAGAGGTAAAGGAGGGCTAGTAAACACAAATGCAAAACAAAAACAGCCTCTGTGCTGGTTTAAGCCAGATTATATTATCTCTGACTGTATACTAAAGGCTAAAATGTTTGAAGCTCTTCTGTCTTTAAGAAATTCTGATCTGATTTGAGTTGTCATGTTGGTTTAAAGCGCAATTCAAGTCCCGGTAATTTTATTTTAAACTCGAGAAATTCCTATTGAGTATCACCACATTTGCTGCTTTACCTGTAGCTTTTTGCAAGTAATTCACTTTCTTTTTGCTTTTCTTTTATTTAAACATAAAAATAGAGTGGTGTCACCGAAATATATTGGATTGCTCACTTCAAATTGCAAAGACTCCCTAAACAGATCAACGATTTCGTGGTAACATAGAGAAAGAGGTAGTTGCAAACTAACATTGCTTTTTAAAGACAAAAATGGTACCCAGGTGAATCGAGTTAAGGTGGAATGCTTAATTATATGTTGCTGCATTATGGAAGAAATTTTAGTGATGTTGAATTCAGCTAATTGTGAAAGTTCAAAAAAAATAATTTTCTACGATGGGAAATTAACTGCCACCGAAAATTTCGAATTGTAAAAGACAAACTGGAACGTAAATTGCTCTGAAGTGAAGGACTGACGTCCTGTTCTCCTCCTCCACAGAGATGTCTCTCTCAAAGCTGTGCTTGACCCCTGAATGAACGCCAGTAAATCACGAGTGGTTTGCAGGTGTTCTCGTTGCAATCGTGCTACACTTTCATTTTAAACAGCAACATGTCACATGTGGACTGGCTGCTTCCGTTTGGTGACGGAGACGTCCAAATAAGTAGATAACTGAGTAAAACTCTTACGTATGCAAAATCGCTTGGCACCTTTTGTTTTTTTTTCTGTTGGCAGACCTTAATTTGGATGGTTTTCCATCCATTCAACATGGAACGTTTTTTTGCATTTTCTTTCCTTGTAGAGAGAGGACGATGCAGTGCGCACCATTCAGAGGAATGCAGCTCTCTACTTTGACCCTTGGTTCCGGCTCTTTCTTGTTCTCAAACCCCACTTAAAACGGCATCGTCTGGAGGAGGAAATTATCCAACTGAAGGTCGGCCTTTTTCCGACCTTGCTTTCCTTTCCGACGGGACATTCAGCTATTAACCTGTTTTGTAATTGCAGAGTGAACTTGAAAAGTTCAAAGCAATGGTCAAAGTTCTGCGCTACGAAAACGTGGCCTATCAAGATAAAATATCGAGACTCTTAATGTTGGTATGTGTATCTACGTATACGTTTTCTACGATTTCATTGTTTAACAACAAAATCGAACCATGGTTGCATGTTTAAAACTAACTCTTTAAAAGCGCTTTTGTTGGAGTCAAAACACTTCATCATTTAAGATTGCGCCTTGCATTTTCAGTCTTGTGGTTAGCTTTAGTGGTGAGCACCTAAGCATCAAACGGCTTTTTCATTTTAGCTTGATCAGATGCAGCCAGGCGGCACGAGCGGAGACCTGGTTAGCAAGCTTGTAAAAGAGGTGAGCTGGCGTTACACGCCCTAATTCCGAATGCCTAGCTAGCCAGATTATCACTGCGTAACGAGTCATCCGCCATTCTTTGTATGTTTTGTTTGTGAATTACTACTAGTAAGCACTGCACCACGCACATTTTCAACGTAACAAAATCGTCCTTAGCAAACTGTCGTTACGCACTTGTGGTACATTTGTTGTTTGAGGGCACGGAAAATGCACCATAAATTTGATTTTTATGAACTTGCTCTATTCCACGGTATCATACGGTGCCGTTGATTTACGTGACCTAGTTCGGCCCATTTACAGCCTCTCCTTCGCTCACTTTTATTCCAGGCCTGTCATGCTGCACAATGCTTGTGCCATTAAAGTGTAACTGAAGAAAACAGTTCCCAATATCCTGCCTCTATCCACGAACCTCACTGCACCCAGCGTTTACACTACTCTGTTAAGTGCACTTGCATTATCCAAGAGGATATATTTCAAATATTTTCGATTTTATAACCACGAGGGCCAGTCACGCTGGTAATGTTAATGCGTTGACCACAGGTCTTAGAGGCCAGCAATTTGAATTAAAAATTACAGTAATCACTGGCTACTTTTAGTTATCACTGGCGGTAGCTGACCATCAGAAGCAATGGCGGGCGATGATTTCTGGAATCCGTGCAGATGGGCTCAATGGCGCTGCAAATGGCATATCCCCCATCCCCGATGGAAATCGTACGTTAAGACGTTCGTTTCATTAGTAATAACACGACCCTACTTTACACAGTGTACACGATAGTCTCACGCGGGCCTGAGAGGGGAGGTCCCTTCTTCGGCCTTTGCTGCTGCTTCGGATGTTGGTACCTTATTTCAGCGAACGGCCTCTGCTGCGTGGTAGATTACGAATCAAACGGCATGTAGAGTCACTCTTAACTTGTGAAGCCAAACTAAGGGAAATTTTTCAGAAATCGTAGTGTTTTTGTTTGGTGAATTCGTATTTAAAGATTGACTGAGTGAATTCAGGCTGATGGTCAACACGGTGTCGAAGTCACGTGTAGGCCTTTTCGGGTTCAAGTTCACGGCCTTGGCGGTCAAAAACCTCAGACAATGGGGGTCATTTTTTTTAACCTGACAGTAATTCAGTCGGTCAAAATTGGCCACAGCAACTGACCTAAAACATCTGTGGCTGAACTGACTTTTAACCTTAAAGCATGATGCTACCAGCCTCTTAGAAACGTTTATTGCGCACGCCTCCACTTAGACGTTGAGAAAGACCTGGATCCTATCACTGAGAGTTCTTACCAGATGGCCAAGGAAAATGCCGAATTCTACCGGAATCAACTAGAATTACTCCGGGAAGAAGTGGACGATCAGAATGCACGTACCAGCCAGCACTACGAAGAGAAGGTAGGCCTCTAACGCCTTGGCTTGTCAAAGCATCATGAACGCACTGACCCTGCTCATACCGCATAGATTAGAGCTAAAACTAATGGCAAACGCGTGCTTTAAAAGTCCATCACAAATCGGCCCTAAAATGTTGGACTTTGAGGAGACCGACAAGCACCAGTACCAGTGTAATTTTGGGCAGGTCTTAAACGTACGGAATTAGCAGGTCTGAGTTATTATGGTAAATTTGAATAAATCACGAGCGCATTATCACGATTCTGCAAATCCAATAACAAAACATTAAAAGGGCAAACGCTGGGATGCATTTAAGCGTTTAACGCTAATTTTAAGCTTATTATTTTGTTAATTGTCCATGCCATTTATAATTTGCTTCAGCCCGGCTTGACTTATAGCGTTCGATTCGCCAAACAGTTCTTTTTCACTCAAGCAAGTAAAAGAAACAAGACGTTTTGAGACCACTGGCGTTTTAGGAAAAAAGAATAATTATTTACCAAATGGAAAACTTCGTGCATCTTAGAAATATGGCACTTCAAAATCCTGAGAACACTTTTGATCACAGTTAGATAGGGATTTCTTTTGGTAGGATTTGAAAAAAGTGGTACTTTTTGGCATCGCAATATTAACACTTACGGCACGTTTTATTAAAATTATTAGTTAGAAGACAGTGGCATCATCTAGAAAACTGATATTTTAATCCTGGCAAAGCTTGCATTTTGGATGCCGCAAACACATACCGGAGACTAATTATGTCAATGCTGCATTTTATTGGTAATTCCGTTATTGTTGTTCCGTTATTTGTCCTGATCAAGTCATTCGCGTGGTTTACGAATGCTTTATGTTAATCTACGTGGCTCTTGCACACTGATTGTAGGCCTTTTCAATCATTTTAAGCACCTTTTGCTTTAGAAACACTACGAGCAAACACATATTATGAAAGCGCACAGAAAATCAGCTTCAATTTTATCACATCAAATATTTTCACTACCAAAATTCACATTTTTAGGCTAATTTTCTGTTGTCATTGATGCACGCATGGTTCTCTCAAAACCTCCAACCAATACTGTAGAGCCCAGGCTCTAGAATAATGTCCCTTTGCAGTTAACTTTGCATTACACTTCATCTCACGAGTCTGGTCATAATCTCGAAGTTGGCCAAACAAACGCCAAGTGTTTTAAGAAACTTAGCGAATCAGGAGTTCCTTGCGAATAAATTGACAACCTAAATGCCAACAACGAGAATTTACTAGAATCTAGTTCGAGCACAATGCGACACAGAGTCCTTAATGAGTCGCCTTTTCCATCCAGATTGGCGTTCTTTCTGAACGGGTAGAGCAGCTGCAAAACATGCTGACCCAAGAGAGCTTTCGCGTAGAACGTTTGAACGGAGAATTGGAGGCAGCCAACAGTCAACTCGCTGAGGCCCGTGAAACCGAGGACAACTTGACCAGCATGGTGGACGACTTGCGGGCCGAGCTGGCCCGGCGTCGGTTGCCCTCGGCCAGCGACCCTGGCACGCCCGGTGAGCCAATGATTGTCGCCAAGAGCGTCGACAACGCATACGCAGCTGCTCCCCTTCCTACGTCCATTGAAGGTCTCCACGATGTAGGTTTCAATCAATAAATCAAACATACAGATTCATGAGAAACCGGTGAATAAAAGAAAAAAAAGTCCTTTGTCTGCCTTAACCACTCACCGACGCTCAAAAATGTGAGCCCCACCTAAATCAAGTGCGATGTGCAAGATCTAGACAAAATACTTAATAATTTTTACCTCAAAATTTTAAATATTTTTATTTGATGATTTCTATTACTAATTACGAAATTTTTTGTGGTTAATGTGATTCCCATTATAAGAAGGATAAATAACAGCAGTAAACGCATATACATTAGTAATATTTTGTGTACAAATAGACGCATTCGCATCTTTCTAAGCAGATACTTTAAGATATTAAATCATAGCTTCCATCAAAAAGTACTATTTGCTTTACACTCCCTGTGTCTTCAATCGCATTTAGACGCAGGATTTTTCAGAAATTTAGATGAAATAGACTCTTGGAAAATGTAAGTTAGTGCTTGATTAAGCACTGAATAGGTTTATTCGCCACTTATTTAGTCCGACGGAGTAAATAAGTTGCTGTTCAGGAAATAAACTTTGCAAAATCAGCAAACCACGCACGTATTAAGCTGACATGCACTAACCTAAATTGTGCAATCAGCATCCTTCATGGCCATCTAAGACGCACAAGTAATAAAACACTTAAATACACGCACAAATTCAGAGGCCTTCCCAAAAGCAGTTTTGTCCAAACACAACTTTTGAAATAGGTTTGTTTTTAGGTCCCCGACCACTACCTCACCCTCATTGTAAATGCTCTTGCAAGGTGAAATGTATTGGTTGAAAAACTTTTAGCAAAATCTAATCGACTTATTTTTGTCTTGTTTTCCTTCTGATAATAATAACGGTTATTTGATGTCTGGCTCCTGCATAACACTTGTGCGCCTCCATGCACTTTTTGTTTATGGTTTATTTAAAATATTTGCAAATCGGCTGAGTTGACCAAACGAGAGTGACCTACAGATACGTATTTTTTCTTCTTTAGCAAGTTGTCTTCTCCCCCTCCTTATCGCTTAAATCAAGTTACATTTCTTTGTAGAAACTGCCGGATCAGATAAGCGCACAAAAGAAGCTGATGGGGATTCGTAATTATTTGGCTGAAAATCCGGACGTCTATGAAACTCTAAAAGACACCCCTCTAGGCCAAGGAGGGGAATACGACATTTTGTCTGCCACTGACAGGCTGGGAAGCACTTCCTACGGACTGGACGGTACACTGGGTCATTCGATGAATTCCGTCTTCCATTCGCAATCGCATATTGAAAACTACCACTTGGGTCGAGCACATGAAATTGAGAATCGAAATGACATTCTGCAAGTAAGTAAACTTTCATCCGAGCAGTTTTACACGTTAGACTTTGTTAACCGTAAGTGGTGATCCATATCTTTCACACTATAACCAACTTAAATTTTATTAGCAAAAACTTGAAGAAGAAATTGGCTACAGAGAAGACCTGGAGTTGGAGGCCCAAGAGCTGCGCAATAAAATATCCAACCTGCAACGCCAAGTACGTCGACAACGCGATGAGCACGAAGAGGAGATGGTGGAGCGCGACCAAGCACACATCCGACGTGTTCGCGAGCTCGACGACGTGATCGATGAGCTGTCGCGTGAGAAGCAAGGTCTGGAGAAGCGCTGTCTGGAACTGCAGAAAAAAGTGGAGGAACTGAGGCAGGAGCCTGACCTCAGTGATAGTGAAAATGGTAGGTCCGCAGACAAGAATTTGTCGGGAAAAAGGTTTCTTTTTAAATCTGACCACATTGTTCTCCAATTTTCGTTGCTGTCCTATCCGACCGTAGCTAGGGTTAATCAGGGATAATAGTGCTGAATGCAAACGCGATTTGACCAGAAGTTGGAGTAAGTTTAAATATAGCTAGCACATCTCTAGTCACTTGTACATTGTTGAGTCTATAATAAGGTTAGCTTGTTCCGGTTCCACAAACTTTGGCGTATACATAACGCAGCACAATCTTGCATCTGATAAAATTTTGAAATAAGACTATAGACACAAACCCTTTACGGATTCCCCTGAATTTTGCATTCCCAAAAATAGGTGATTGGCATCACAAACAAGTGGACGGATTTCTTTATGCATTTTACTATGACTTAATGTCTCACACGATCACAGCGTTTTTATCTACCTAAGAAGGTGTCAACTTTCCATAAAATTTGTTATATTTAGAGGTTGTCACACTCGCGGCCCCACAACCTGTCTTCGATCTAGTATCTGTCCTATTTACGCCCATAGGATTTGTGTAGAACTTTCCATTTATTTATAGCCGAATTATCTACAATTGCGGAAACCCAGGTTGCTGAAAGATGCAAGTAGACAAACTTTCCAGTTAGTTGCGACATCTATGGAACCTATATCAACGGTAACACATCGCCCTCGCAGCGGCACGTGTGTGGCTTAATTACGAGCAGCCAAGTTTTTCTTAGATGGAGTCAGAAGGTGCAGTCGGATGGCGAATGGGCGCTACAAATCTGGCAGCGGCCAGTCGTCACGCCACCATCATTGTCATTTTAACTATGCGACATCCGAGGTTTTTCCATGCTTAAACTTAGCAACTCCACGGCCCATGCTTAATTAATTTTTACGCAGTCATTAGGCCTGGATGTAAACCTGCCTAGTCCAATGAAAGATTCCTTCACCTTTTCGCCAGAACTCCACCCCAGAAGTGAGTTAAGGTGTGTGATTGCTTATAGACCAGGAGTGCGCGTGCCTTAAATTCTTTTCTGCGATCCAAATAAGAGGTGATAAATTGTGCCACTGTGGTTGTCTCTTATTTGCATGCCAGTTAAACCGATGTGGTGGTCGATAACTAGGGTGAGAAACAGGGTGATTCCAAAATCAACTGTGAGGGCGATTTCGAGACATCTGATTGCAACTAAAGGATGCAAGTACAAATTAAACAACTCGAAATAGTTTTTTTTATGTTCTCGCGTTATCAGGCCACGAAAGTAAGACAGTTTCGTTTTAGGTGTAAAGGGCTGTTTATTTGACATTGTATGCTGTGCAATGACAGATCAGAGAAGATTACACAAGTTTTGTTCTGACTTAGGTAGTGCGCGTGCCAAAGAATTCGTCTGGTTGCGCAAATCTAGTGCCTGTTAAAACAACGATAACTCAACTAATTTAGGGGCAGCAGAGTTGAGTAGCTCAACATTCCTCAATCGTGTTTGCCAGAAGGAAATGAAGGCAATTTAATTAGGCTCTTATTTTAAAGTATAGCGAGTTGGTTTAATAAATCAGGGTGGACACGGTACATAACGCCCACCAAATTATGCACTTGTGAATAAGCATTATAAATGGCGGTATTTTTCAACACGTTTTCATAGTTGACATAATCCAACGTTAATTGGTAGATTTTTTGCAATCCTGTGTTTTATCGGATAAGACGGAATACTACACGAAACGCAAGCATCCTGCTTTAATATACGCTTTAGTAGGTCCTCTGCGTTTCACTTAATCTTACGGAGGTCGCCCCAGGGATAAAGTGAGGAGACCATTTTGGATTTGCACTAATTACGGAGCCCAAAGTCTAGGCGTAGGCAGCTACGAACTCACGTTTACACGTGTAGACGACACGGCTATTGCACTTTCCCTTCCGCGGCTGCCATTCTAGCCAAGTGCTTGAACAGCGAATCAGAGACATGGGAAAGGAGTAAGCAAAGTGATTGAAGTCGACGTATCAGGGGAAGCAAAATAAGTTACCATCACCGCCATGTAATTTTTAACTATCCTTGATATTTTGGGTGTTTTGGCAGACGTTGACAATTTTGAAGTCATTGGCCTTCATCAGTGAGCTGTGTTGGGGATCCAAACTGTACACCAGCTAAGCGCAAGCCTTTTAAGTAAGCTGACAGACACAGTTGTTGCTCGGTGCGCATTAGGCCAACAGACCTTAAACTAATGCCACCTTCACGGCATTCAATGGTTTGATTTCAAGTGTTGAAATTAGCGCTCTGAGCTGACTCTAAAACATGACGAATTTCACCACGTTGAGTGAATTAAGAGTGCAAATAAAAGCAGGAAAATCAGGACATGGTTTTAGCTTTTTAATAGTCACATATGAGTCTTTGGCAGTTTGCACATTATGCGGTTGCATGTTTTTTTTAATTTCCTCAAAAAATGTGTGGCTTCCGTTAAAAGTTGCAGACAATCTTCGGGATACACATGCCATGTTAGTCGCGGACAATCGTCAATACCTTAAGGAGCTCGATCAAATCAGAGAGGAATTTGAGCAGTACAAGCGGGAGAATAACACGGCTGAACTTAAGGAACAGGTAACAGCCAGCTAAGCTAGAGACAAGGCTCGTTGAGGCCAAACAAACATGAAACCTTTTATTCCTTCTAGCTTGCCGAAAGAGACGAGAGGATATCCCAACTGGAAGTTAGCCAACGACACACCAGCTCCGACATGGAAATTCTTAATGTTCGTCTGCAAAATGCTAACAAACTTCTGGACGACGTAAGTACCATTTTTTAATGTTTGCTCATCGTTATGGCTTGGCTCCATGATTTGATGTCAATTTAATCGACAATGCATTGCTTTTCGACGTTTCTAATGAAACCCGTCCCTCACTTATGCTACTTTTCAGGAACAAGTACCAAGTAATTCTTGAAAAGGGATCAAGATGATGAAATACCAACAAAGATTTGCACAAGCTTTTACCTCAACAAGGCTTCTTGATTCGGTTCGATAATGAGCATAGTTATTAACTTTATACATAAATAAACACAGCCGATCACACGCTTTAACGTGCTCCAGACTTAAGTCAGAGTCGAAGCCATTTAACGTACTATCAACATCTCACTTGAATGCGTAAAGACAGATTTCGAATGACCATTCTGCTAGCCGACGTGCATTGAGAATTACATACTTCCATCTTCTAATTTACACCGAGTTAGTTTAAAGGGTTCTTTGTACCAGAAAGCGACTTACGAGGTGGAAAATTTGCACAACTACCTACGGCTGATCATTCTGGTGATTGGGTATAACAACTATATGGGCCTACAAAGGGGATCAGTGTGGAGATTGTAGCAAGATTATATGCGAAGGTTCAGTCAGTTGGGGCTTTCACAATTTCGAAGCAGTTAATCTTTTATTCTACACGTGTTCCGCACGAAAATGGTTACTTCCAATTAACCCATGGGTTAAGGACCCTCAAAAACTTAAAATTAACCCCTAGAAGTAATCAGAGTTCTGGTCAGTTATAAAATATGCCGTGGCATTTCAAGCGATTTGCTGAGTCAGGGCTGCAAAAGCTGCAGTAAAAATACCACTCAATTGGGCATTTACTGTTCCATAGAACGAGCAAAGGCTTCGCGGCCTGACGAAGGAGCGTCAGACCCTCCTCCACCGGATCTCCCAGCTGGAGTCGGAGCGCGATTCGGCTGTCCGGGAGGCTGCGTCGGCTGTCGGCAAGGCCGGGGCCGAGCGCGAGGCCGCGGCGGCGCGCCAACGCGAGCTCGACGACCTCAAACACGAGCGCCACGCCTACCAGAAGGAGCTCACTGACATGAAGGCAAGACTTGAGTGTCCCGAACCCCATTTAAAACCTTGATTCTTGCACCATAAATTTAATAGGGAAAAAAACTAATCCTTTTTTCCTGATTCACTATCGTAAATGCGAGTATTGTTAGCTAATTTGCAGACATCATCTGATTGGATAATTTGCCCGAATTCGTGTTGAACGCCTACAAATGCTCACCAAGGTCGGTTGCGTTTAAGCAATAAAGGTAGCCTGGTCTTCTCTTCATTGTGTGTCCACATATAGATTTATGTTATCTGAGTGTGGGCTCAAAATAGTCAACAATTTTGGTTGCTGTTTACCATGAGTAAACAATTTAAACTTTCCGGTCGCTGGGAGCAAATTCAACCACTCAAATAATAGGAGTGAATTTAATTTAAGCCCAGAAATTAATAGACGCCATTAAGAGGGCATAGAGCGATAAAGTGCCCAATTTAATTAACGATCCTTGGATTTGACATTGTTCTTTGAAAGATTTGTTTGGGATGCCAAAGTAATTAGTACCAGTAGCTGTTAGGACAATGTTTTGAGGTCAGATTAAATAAGTCATGTACAACCGGCTGTGAGTATATAAAAATTTCACCTGAAGTACTGAGGAAATAAAATCTTTAGCGGCACAAATAGTTGAACTAGAAAGGCCCTTTTGTTTTAATTTATTTCGGTTTAAAAGTTATAAATTCTGACTGATTCTGCTTCGAACCTTGCAATATGTATCTGCGTGTATCAACACTTTGCCTTAACCTCAAAAACATTGGTTTGAAGGTGACCCTCACAGAGACGAGTACGAAGGCTTTGACGGAAAAACAGGCCCTAGAAAAACGGCTCAGTGACCTTGAGGCCGCAGCCACTAAACGGGAGGCAGACCTCAAAGGCGACCTTGATACCTACAAGGAGAAAGTCGATACCCTTCAGGTTAGTTGACCTTGTTGCTTGAACAGGAAACGGTTGCTTGCCAAGCTTTTCTTGCTGAAGCAGCCAAACCATTCAGTATTATCCACTGATGGGCTGCATAAGAAGGTAACAGACCCCCTAAAGGCGAAAAACATCTACTAGTCTAAATTATAAATATTCTTATGTATACGTTTACATAAATACCTAGTCGAAAGACACTTTACTTGTCTGAGTCCATATTCAAGACGCATTGGGTGGGCGGGCCTCCCATGGCCTCAAAAAGTGGAACAAAGGAAAAATTACTTCTCCTGGTGAAGTGCGCAGCACGGTTGCTTTCTTCATTTGGCGAGTTTCAAGCTGGTAGCCCGTGATGAATGTCGTCTGCACATTTTCACGGCTCTGCCTTCTACTCCTGATTCCACGAAGGTGATTTTGATGTGCTCTTGGTACTTGACGCCAAGTTTGTAAATAAATGCCAAGCAAGGCAAGATTTCTGTTAACATTCCATTGACACGTTTTTTTCGAAAAACGTGGCCCTACGTGCCTTCTTGGCTTTAGCAAGAATTGTCAGCACTGCAGAAGGTCGAATCAGCAACCTCGACAGATAATCGCCACCTGAAGCGGCAAATTCGCGATCTTCAAGACAGCGTGGACAGCTATACTAGAAAGGTGGCTGAACTTGAACGTCGGAACTCCGATCTTTCTGCGGAGTTGGACCGCGCAAAGTCGAATTTAAGCGCAACAAGGGAGACGGCAACCCTTCTAAGAGACAGACAGACGAGGGCGAACGAAGAGTACGCCGCCTCAGTAGGCTACATGGACGACGTGGCGTATTCAGACGACGAGGTGGGCCTCGGTGGAGGTGAAGGGGACACCACGTCCTCCATGCACGACATCTTTCGACGCAGCAGTGGAAGCTATGCTGGATTCAGCGGCACACAGACTGTAGACAGGCACAGGAATCGAAGTAAACAACGGTAGGTGGAGACTTGTCAAACAATAGTAGGTATTCCGTCTCCTGTTGGTTGAATTTTAATGTCCAAAACACAAAACCTTGCCTTGAATCCTAAGTAAAATTACCTATGCCAATGCAAAACATGGTAATTTTTTATCGATTAAGCAGCATCTTGAAAATTCCCTAAATTAATTTTATTCGTCGCCCTCTTCCTATATTTCATCTAGTGCTAGCAGAATAGTGAGGTGTATAGTAAACGATTTTCTCACCAGTTTGCCATGCTTGTATTTTCAGCATTTTGCCTAACATCCTCTATAGGGACACAAAAATTACGCCCGATGGGTTGGTAATATCTAAGCTCGTCATCTGACAATGTTCCCATGGTCACCATTTGTTCACTAAAATGATACTCGAAGCCATGGGTCTGCACCTGATTTATATAAATAACGACGATGTAATGATCGCAGGACCAAAAAATCACACGCCTTTGACGGCTGCGCTGTTATTTGTCCCGAGGCAGCTTCTAAAGGTGTAAAGCAACTTTAACTACCAAAATACTGACTTGCAATCTCCAATTGGCTTGTGAACTATGGGTGTCACTTGGTGCATCATTAGTTAATCGTAAAACAACAGAAAGCCCTTACCAGCTCTGAGTCAGTAGGCGTTCTCTTTCTTTCCACTTCTCAGTCAATATGAGCGCCCATCCTCACGATCAAGCATGTACAATCGATCCCAACCAAAGTTAGGCCTTTCAAGCACGCTGCCCCGTTTCGGTTCGCATCACCAATTTTTGCCACCATCCGCCACGTCAAAGGACGCTTCCCCTCAACCTCCTGTCAGCAAACCAGAAGCAGCTGATCATCAACCCGAGTGGTCGTACGATTCCGAGATTTAGATCAGCTCTTTCGCTTCCCCTCTACATTGACCTCGAAACAACGCTTTTGAATGACGAAACATCAAAACGCACAACAACTCTCCTCCTCTCTATTTCATATTTTGTGATTGTGCTCAGAAATAGTAGAACCGTATTTCCTGATAGCGACTGCTCGTGGGAAACCAGGGCAGTGTCCCTACACCCACGATTCGCTTAAACACCAGCGAGCTCTGCCCCCTCCCCCCAATTTTACTTTTCAGACGTATCACCGCAAAAGAGAGAATCGGTTGTTTGGTCATATTTCAACCTAAATTTGATGTGCACCCAGGCAACCGAATATCCCCACCGACTAACAGCCTCTGATCCCGAAGCTAATTGACTGAGGGGCGAGACAGAAAAGGGGCTGGCGTTTGCAATAGGCCTATGATCTGCACTGTGGCTTCGAACCAAGGCCACAGACTGTCTTTTAATAAGACAGTAGAAGGCAAAGGAGCCTTGGGGTTCTCTAGTAAACACTTATCCCACGTGTCCGTCAAGAAAAACAAGGGGTGCCCCAATAAACTCAACACGAGAATGAGAAGAGTCGAGACCAGCATCATACAAATCACTTTATTTTAGACAAGGTAGGAGAGATAAGTTAACCTTACGGGCTTAATGCAGGCTAAACGGACTGATCAGTTGATGTAAATCAGTTCCCAGTAAACAGTTGACTCATTTTTTATGAGGATTGTACAAACGCAGTGCGTGAGAAATAATGCACCCAACATCATTGTACGGATAGTTCTAAAAAAATACAAAACAAGTGAGTAAAATGACATCAATGCTCCCTGCTTGAATAGGGTTAAAGGTTTAAAATCGTGAAATATACTCAATGGAATAGAACCTCACAAGTAGAACATTCAAACACAGATTCAATACATGTAACTCCTTTGATGAACTATCAATGAATTGATTCGACCTGTTGGCTGTGAAGTGAAATTGCATTTCCCAAGAAACCAACGTGCCCAGAGATTTGAATGGCAGTCCTAAATTCGACTGACATTCCCCCATCCGCGTTTAGGTGGTCGCAGGATTCAAATGTCAATTATGCTGTAAAATAGGTGACCCCTTAATAAAACAGTGAACAAGGCTCGTCTTCAGCATTCAAATAAACGCCAAATTTGACTTGTTCTTAAGAGGTCTGACTTGTCACAAAAATAAGGGTTTTTAGTAACTCTGGGTGTCCAACGTTACACACACTCTTTCCAGTATTTTATTTGAAGGCTTTAGTATTTATGAAGAAAGACATGCTACAACACAGTTGACACCGCGAAGTCATTTACATTTACGGAAGGGAAGTTAGTGCCTTTGGCTTTTTAATTAAAATTTGGTACAGCTTTGGCTTGATACCTATACGACTACTCCATTCGACCCTTGTTGTACGCGCTTTCATTAAGGGGAATGTCAGAACTAGGACACGTTTTCTGTCATCAACCGATTCGAGGCAACACCACCATGCTGTTTACTTGGTCGCATCGGTCGCGACTTTCCAGTACAGCAATGAAACAGGTGAAATGGAACGACGCACCTGAACGAGACGAACGGCTTGAGGGAAATCACAAGTCAGCAATTCGCTTCGAACTAATCTAAAAAAGATAATCGCTCATTTTAAGAGAGCAATTCACATAACTGGGGTCCATCAAATTGCAAAAATCTGGCCCGAAAAAAACATGTTAACTGGACACATTAGAGGTCAAAAGGTAGTTTCCACAGATCAACTATGGCCAGCGGTGGGAAACTAATTGGATTTATATAAGGAGAGCTTATTGATGACGAGATTTGCAGGTAAGTAATAAACGCGAGAATTTGGCACCACGAGCACGATGGACGCCGAGGGGTTCGCTGTGACACCCGGAAGGGGCTCAACTGGCGCGAAGAGCAATGTCACGTGGAGGAGGAGAGGGGACACCTGGCAAATCGCTGATTGCATTCACGAATGAGTTCAACGTTGCACCGTCCATCGTATTGTCCACGTGTCTTCCTTAAGAGTCCTATATCCTTAGATGCAGCCAAATCTTACGTAAACTACTCGGACAAGGCCAATGAGTAGCTCAATGATACCACAGCGCATCAGTTAGGGGAACACACAGCAAATATCCTCATACAACAATACCTCTAATAGAAGTGGTACACTGACGTTCTAGGGATCCCCCGTATGTCGAAAATCACGAACGCAAGCCCTCATTTGCTACGGTTCCCGGAATCATTTGTGGCAGCGAAGACGTCGTTCCAGACCACTTTCCGGGAGGGGCCCGAAGGCCAGCCCAAGCGACGGCGAAGTTCAGCGCAAATGCCACGGCTCAAGGGCCGTGGGCGTTTACGAGAAATACCGTGCTCCCCTCATGCACACAATGCACGTTGCGAGGGGAAAGCTTAGTGCTAACTGCCTCACAACACCCTCCCCACATTCTCTCCGGCAGTCAATTACTGAAGTAGTGCTCAGTTGCATAGACCTGGTATTAAAGGCAGTCGCTACAGCACACGGATTTTCTCGTTCCTAATTTTTGCTTTCTCTTGCTGGAAACTTGACCAATAAGTTCGACAAACATGTACATACACATTTGTTCGAGGATGTTAATGTTTTTAAGGTGATTTGCACGGGATCTCAAACTAGGCCACCGTTCATTAACAGTCAGGACACATGACGCTAGTTAGAAGAAAGATTAAAGCAATCGCCAAGGAAAGAACGGGTGTATTCGGAGCACAAGTCAATGTCAACTTACATAAGCATTGAACAGCATATGTACAAAACTAGATCGAACCGGTGTTCATCGGCGAAAATGCAATCCCAGAGTCGCAGTACATCTTCAGCATAAAAACATACAAAGATACAGTAGAGCGGTGGCAAACATTGCAGAGGTAAATAAAACAATTACCAAGAAGAGTTTATTTTTGCCCTAAATAGTGACTTGATGACCTTCAAGACGTCACCTGAGCTTAAAGACAAGGTGGCATTGGCTTTGGAAGAAATACGCGCTAAACGATGTGCACCTTGCATCGAAGTGGAGGGAATACAGAACGATTTCTTTTAATAACTGGGTTCCATTGCGCATCCTTAGAGCGACTAAGCAAGAAGTGCAACCAATGCGAATCATGATTGCAATGAATGGAATTAGAAAGTGCATCGCTCATATTGCCAAAAGGTAAAATACAGCCACAAAAACCATGACCTCAATTAAGTTATGCCTAAATAAAACCACAAGTAAAATTACGTAAAGCAATTGAACACGCCGACAGACTGGTGTGGGCGTAGGCAGTGACCGTTAGAAGGGAAAAAGTGGGGGCTGCGCGTACCTGGAAGCATAAATTCGCGAGAAAAAAGGAGAGTGATCCAACGGAAAGCGAAATACGTAGGCTCTAGCTGGAGGCGATTCAGATGACAGAGCAGCTCCGGGTCTAATCGCCCCAGCATTTGCACCATTTGCTCCATTTTGCTCCCTACGTGTTGTATAATGAGGTATCCAGAGCAGTAAGAGCAAACTCACCTATTCCAAAGTCCTGATCGAGGCTGCGATTAAAATTGCACTGAATTTCCGCCATCAGGTTATTGAAGCAGAAAAAGGTATCAGCTTCGGCAAAACCTTGAAAGAATTAATAATTCCTATGTTCATTTATATTAGCGGATGGAAGATAATATCACCATTTTTTTAAAAAAAGAACAGGAAATCTTTTCACGGACTAGCATTTCTTTCGAAATTTGTACCATTGGGTTTTTCAGAAGCAATCGTCTTGTGATGTTTATTCACTGTGCAACTAAATGAATGAAATGACTTCTACTACGAGGAAGAAACCCGAACGATTCCTGCTGCAATAGCAACATCGTGTGAATTTCACGAAACGTGGAAGAGGAAGCAGTTTCCAGGTGACCAGTCGAAGTTCGCCTGAACCAACTTGGGTCAAAGAGCAACTGCTTGGGTGTTCATGTTGCACTAGGCGAATGTAACACAGGAAAATAGCCTAACTTTGTCCATGGCAGGATCACCAAAGCTAAGACACGTAACTACGAGCAACACCCAGTGCTACACGTAGTGAAGCAGACCTACTTGGGGACACGATAGTTTATTAGTCAGGTAGATTGGCTCGCGTCAAGTTACATACGTAGGTGCGTGTGCAAATAGGTTGGCTGCATAAACCATGGAGCTTATGTGGGTCTGGTGAATGTACACACAAATAATTGACTGGGGGACGGGAACCGTAGAAACAAATATTCAATTAGATGGATACAGAAACTCAAAGGTCATGTATGAACGACGGTGATAGGCGTGCTGTAACATCAACTACCACAAATAGGTGGCCAAAAAGAGTGATAGGTCACATAGCAGCTAATATGCATAAACAAATCAGATGCTGAATCACCAACAGCGTCGACGCTTACGACAAGCAAACAACTACACTGTCGCATAATCATCTAATCAATGGAAGTTAAATTGCTAATATTTTGTAAACAGAAAAGCTAATTTAATTATGAGAGCAATCTACAGCAATTCTTTAATGCTGAAGGCGTCCTTAAATGCGTGAAAACCTAACAGGTCTGTTGCGTTATTGATGCAACAATTCTGCGGTAATGGTTGTTTTATCAATAGACACATATACTAGTAAGATAAGGCACAAAACACCACTTTATTTACTCACTGCGCTCTTTAAGATCGGGATGATTGGCGAACACATAGTAAATGGGACCAACAACTTCGTTCATTCCCTGTACATAGGGAGAACCTTTGTTGACCTTGTAGTAGACGAAGATAATCCGTTGGACTACCTCCCAGTGAGCTTCAAAGTGTGGTAGTAATTCATCACCATGAAAAGCAGCGTCACCTCTCTTTTCTTCTAGAGACTGATCGCAAGCTGCCCGTAGTAAAGAGTCTTCATTATCACTGCTCACGAGCTTCAAGGCTCCAGCAGTATTTGCAGCGACAGCATGAGACTAAAAAATCTGTATACTATTCTAAATGCTTGATTAACATTAATATAAGAAATTATTGAAATCACGCACCATTAGGACATTAAGATTTCATTGCTCATTAATAAATACAGAGCTAGCTTAAAGCGTGAGCTTGTTAATACACACAAGGAGTAATTCGAACGTAGTAAAATTTAAAGTCGTACGGCCTTTAATTACACAATTGTATTTCACCAACCAGTGGCATAGGCATTAGGATTAACTAAATGTGACATAATGAGAAAAAAAACACGAAAGGCATAGTCAATCTTAGCCAGAACATATAGTTCTAATAATGCAAAACGCACTTATTTACATTTAGACATATGGGATTAACCAATACGGCTAGCAACGGCACACATGTAGTCACAAAATCAGTCATCGTATTTACACTTCGAACTCCTTTCATTACGAAATAAGACGCCAATCTTTATTTTCACAATCATTCATCTCCCAATCTAGGAGCTCACTTTGAAGTATTCGCGGAGGTTTTGTGGGACCCCCACCTTTACATTAATTTTGATAAAGGTCCAAGTCTATTTTTTGGTAAAATAAGGAAATCGAAGAGAAACGGAGATTTGAATGTTAGCAGAAACGAAAAAAACACCAAGTTGGAACAAAAAGTAAATCAAAACGTACGCGAGTAAGAGCTGTTTCGACACGGTTGCGCAAGGATGAAACACTCAAGGATGAAGAAACTGCAGCAGTCAACGGAAACTGTGTTGGGCGTCGGAAAAAATCTAACTCAGGGTAAAGCCTTCGACAATCTTTGTTTATTTGCAACAGGACTTTGTTGTCATCGAAATATTCTCGCCAATTACTTTCAGGATCACAACTAAGGGGCTAAAGAAATATAAGAAAAAAAGATACTCAAACGTGATCCACAATTTCGGTCGATTCAAATTTTTTTTCAATAAATTCGGATAAAAAACTCGAATATTCAGCCCGCGCTTTCGATGAGACGACATCCCATTTTGAGGCATTGGGAGGAAGGTAGTTCAGAAGCAGCTTCCAAACTAATGCCCTAATCCCGGCATTTTCCGGACAGCCTAATATACATTCGGCTCTTAATTTTTTTATGTCGATACACTGGCATCCTAAAATATTCCGAAAAATCTCCAACCTAAAACTATTGGACTCATTTACACGGCCAACCTTGAATCCTTCATTTATGACAAAAAAATGACTAATTCAAACAAGATTTCCTAATAAAATCGAACAGAGGGCAACGTCAGCATTTCTAAAAAACCGAAGCACAGTATATTTTAACTTTTATAGCATAGCAGATTTTTTGAATCCAAACCAAATTGTACTCGGTTGCATTAACCTAGTGCCTTATCTTTTACTTAAAAAAACGGAAAAATTCAAGACTTTTCCTGTATTATCAAAAGTTAAATGAAAACAACTGTCTATAAACTATTTTAGCGTGGCCAAAATGCCAAAAAACCGTGTATTACTTAGAGTCATTTGTTCTGGCAAATCTATTAATGTCATTTAAAAAGGTAGCACCTGTTTTAACCGACAACCTAAGACCAATCATTTGCTACCTATCACTTTAACTTTGGATCACCACGCAAACTTTATCTGCTAATTAAATACCTTTTACTCAGCTATTATAGAGTCCACTAACAAGAATTTCTAGGATCTCAGTGAGCGATTGAAGAACGGCTTTGTTGTAGCGAGAAACATCAAGGCATTGAACATTAGAATGATGGATGAGAAAAACTGATCAGTAGGATCATTAGTGCCATTATAAAAACTAGAGCGACTAAAGTACGTTTAAATAGAGTAGGCACAATTAGAAATTCTGTGGCATCATTTTCACCATTTCATTTCAAAAAAATTAATTTTTGATTGACTAAGAAAATTATTGATTCAAAAGAGGTGTGTTTCTAAGGCAAAATGATTTCATCAATAAACTACAATAAAATTCCATAAAATGTGTTCAAAGTACACTTTTTTGTGCAAAAATGCCCTACTTTTAAGCTAATACAAAAATAATGCGCGTAAGACTTTAGGCCTGTGCATTTCATTACAAATAGGTTGAACCATAGCTAAGTATATTAGCGAATTTGCTTGCAACATTCTTGAATTTTCTTAGTTAATTTGCTCAAAATTTGCGAAAATTAAAAATGGGCCCTAGGACAAAACGCCCAAATAAATTCTAAGTGTATATATGTGTTGCGTTTTTCAATTTTTTGACTCTAGTTATTTTTGCTACAATTTTGTGCTTATAAATAAATATTATGATGTCAATTACCTGTAATGTCTTTTTTTCAAAAATATTCAACGTTAATTTAAAATTTAAAAAAATTTCACTTATTTGGAAAAATTGCGGCCTTATGATATCATTTTACGCTTGTTGTGACCTCAATGTGTTTTAGCTCTTCGCATCGTGGAATGCCATGTCAAAAAACTCGGCAGCACTATAAATAGTGAAATGCAAAGGACTGACTTGCCCTTAGATCCCAAACAGGCAGCTGCTATAGAAAGACGTAGGCTTTTTGAGAAAGAAAGAAAGGCTCGTTTTTTTGATGAAAGGACTAGACTAATTGGAGTATGTTACAAAAGTTGTTACTATTTGCAACGGTTTGTTCTTTCATTATTAAATTTTAGTCAGTGTGGCAGTTTGTTTTATTAATGATTTACATTGCTTAGTTTATGTATAAGTATGTTGCTTTATATTGAATTGGTAATTACATCTCTGTTTTGGTGATGCCATTTTAAATTTTTCTGAGTTCCCTGAAATAGTAAATCATAGAAAAGTGACTCAGACATACGTCAGGCACTATTCGGCTTTCTTCTATTTTCCCGAATCTAATGTTTGGCAGACAGAAATTCTTTGGTTTGCATATACTAACGGCCAAGCGTTTTCTAATTTTGTTGTTTGAGTTTTATTGCAATTAAATGTCCTGATGGAAAAGAATTGGATTTAAGTTTTTGCTTTCTCGCTACCTTGAAATGGGATTTGATGCCTCACGTCAGATAAACATGATCCATTAAATGTCATTGTTAACTATATTCAGCGTGTTCAATTACTTTAAAATTTTGATATTTGCAAAAGTCTTTTGATCATCAAATTTTTAGCCTTAGTTTACCTATAAATAATGAAAGTTTCTTTTTATTCTGTATTACAGTAACACTTGATCCAATTCACAAAAAGACTAATGTAGCTTATAATTAAGAATAGTTAATCCTCAAGTTGGCTTGCGCTTTGAGATTGTGTAAATGACACCGTATTTTTTTAAAAAAAAACTACAATATATTTCAAAGGTGTGTTTTGCTGCTAATATTGTCGTGGGAGTGAGTACCAATTGTGCTGGCGATAGAAAATCATTTGCACTTTCATTAATACGTGCATTTAAGTGCTACAAATTGCGATATCTGGATTTGATTGTCTTACGATAAATAGAGTGATGTAATGAATTCATTCACAATTTATTGAAATGACTTTATAGAAAATTACAAAGGAATCGCGTTAATTTTTTTATACATTAAGGTTGATGAGCGCGCGCTTGCACAACAAGTAAGAGAACGAAAAGAATATGAGGAAAATGAGCGCTGCAGAGAGGTGGCCTATGGTATGATACAAATTAGAAAGATACACCTGGTCTTTGTAAAGTCATACTAATAAACAAACCATTTTTTAAAGGTATAAACTTTTATTACTCAATTGAGTTGTTCCTTGCCTAAATTTCGTTAGTGAAAACTGGGTTTCCTGTAAGAAGGGATCAGCTATCGACTTGGCAAATTAATTTTCTGTGAAATAGAAATTTTCTACATTTTGTTTAGCTAAAGAAGCAGAAAAGTACGACAAAATTGCCATTCTTCTGGAGAAAAGGCAAAAAAGAGATCAAAAGGAGTTAAACCGGGCTCTGAATGAGTTCCGATTTATACACCAGCCGCCGAGCTCCCGTCGCGAATTCGATCTAAATGATCCAGAATCAAAGAAGAAGGATCGGCCAGCCCGTGTCTCAGATGATGATCCTAGATGCGGGGTTTCTTCAATGCAGAAATTTGTTGGCGAAGATCTAACAAAAAAATCAAGGGACAAATATCAACGTGAACAGATGCAGTGCTGGTTTCAGCATCAGATGGAAGAACGCAATGCTGCTAATTGTGCCAGGCAACATGATGATCAGTACGATTTTTATGGTTTAGATTTTTGCCAGTGACTTGCTTGTCATTGTTCAGTGATGAAATGGCAGTCGTAATAGGTAACTTTGTAATGATTTTACTGACTCCTTCTTGTTTAAAATGTTAAGTTGGTTGCAGATGCGGCAAAGCGTTTTATAATTGTTAATTCAGTACAGTTAGACATTTTTCGTGTGTAATTTCCCAAATTTTTGATTAAGATTTGCTACATCAAAGTTAAAAACAAAGTTTTTTTTTTCAGTTTATTACGTGCACCAATCAGTAGATATGGCAACACATTACACTACTTATTGATTTGTCATGAAACCACTAGTAGCAAAACACCTTTAACCTAATCCCGAAAACTCTACCATGCTACCATTAGATCATTTTTGTTTACTTTGTTCCTGAATACAGCCTCCATGATCTGTACCGTCGAGAGATGGATCAGCGTGCCTGCCAACTAGCGAAGGCGGAGGAGGAGTGTCGACGGGCCGTAAACACGGCCCTCCGTCGCTACAACGAGGTCCTTGCTGCTGAACGAGCCGAGCAGGAGCGCGTGAGGAGACTGCAGGAGCAGGGTGCGAATGCCATCGAGATTGCCAACTGCATCAACTCCGACCTGCTCACTGAGAATCCTGCACAGGCAATTTCAGCTTTTGGCCCGCATCGCATTTGCCCCGATCGCTACAAGGGATTCTCTCCTGAACAACTGGCGGAAATCCGTCAACAACAAGTGCTACAAATTAAAGAAAAAATTGTATGAGTTTTTAGCATATTACAATTTCACTAGGCAAATCGAGAAGCTGTCATGAACCTTATTTGACATGGTGCTTCATGTCATTGTTAAGGGTTAATTAAGGGTAAGGAAGGGGCAAGTTATCTTCTGCCATTAAAACATTGCATGGCAGAAGATAACACCAAAACTGGGTGTCTTGACAAAGGTTCAAATCTCGTTAGATTTATGGAGCAAAGATATCAGTTTCCAATCAATTTCACGGATTTACGAATATCCATTCTCGATGCAGTTCCAAATAATGCTGAGCTGAAATTTTTCTTTCCTAATAGTGAAGAAAATATAAGTAATGTCATCAAATGTTTCTTTAAGCTGCGTTTTTCCTAACAGTTCCTTTGTGGAAATGGAACCTTTTATCGTGCATGACGTTATGGACACCTAGATTTGGATTATTTTATTCGCATGTCCACCTTCAAATTGCCAGTATCCGACAACACATAACTTGATAACATGCTTACTTACTGATAAAGTGGTTTTCATGTTTTTAAATGTTTTCCAGTACTTTGCTCCGTAAAATAAGCCCTCTGGGGCGAATTTTCTAGTCCATCACATTCAAAGTCAGTACCTGATTAATTTGGGACACAAGTGTTAGGAGGTGAAGGCTAGCTAAAGTGATTTCTTCATCTTAAAATCTAGTAGCATATTGAGGAAAACCAAATACGTTTACATTTCCTCCATGGGTGTCACTAAGTTTAGTTCCAACTTCGTCGGTGTAGTTTACGGAAATACCTCTTCAATTTTTAGCTATAATTAGATGAAGGTAATAAAAAAGTTATTATTGCTTGTTATAACGTAATTTTTTTATTTCATTCGCTAGATTTTGTATACAATATCTCAGCCCGAATCTTAAATGCAAACTGTTAACATTAAACAGCAAAGCGTTCAAATGTCTGCAAAAAGCGGACAGAAAACCTCACTTTTAATTTCAGCAACATTTCAGCAACTTTTCTATTTCTAAGGATTGTGAAGGTGTGTACAGTTGTAATTTATGGAGATTCCGCGTTTTTTTCGTCAAGACATTTACGGACTCTCAAAAATGTTCGGTTTTCTGTCATGGAAACTACGCCATTTTAATATACATTTTAATTATTTTCTTATCTTAGGGTAGATTTAAGCGATAATTTTTTTTAAAATAACACTAGCGCATGAAAGAGGAGCAGAAAAGAATGAACGCTGAATTTGACTGTGAGCGTGCAAGGACCGGAAAGTTGAGTCTTCTCATGGAGCGTCAGCTAGAGCGACTCGCGCGCGATTACCGGAAGCAAATTGCCCGAGACAATTTGGTCATGGCAAGAGATCACAAAGCCTTTCAAAAGTATCTCAAGGAAGAGGTAGGCCTTTCCATTTGCCTTTTTCAACTCTTTGTTAAGCAGTTGGTCTACTCTTTTAACTGCAAATACCAGGACCCGGGGTTGAAAAACAGTTTTCCACTTATAATCAATAACAATAATGAAATGCCAAAGGGCAATGATATGACGATGCAAGAAGCACTGTTACCATGTATTTGAAAGAGTTTGTCTGAACACTGCCGTGCATAATTCCGGATCTTCTGATTACTGCCTAGCGGCTTTTGTGTGCCTTTTTATTCGAGCACTCCTCCAAACGACGGTTCACAGGTTGTATTTCCATTGATAATGTATCATGCTGGTGGCGAAGCTCGATTAGCACAGTAGTTCGACGTGCTGCTGTATCTATGCCATGATTGTGTAAATCGACCGAAGCAGTGGTCAAAGCTTCATACATCGTGAACCCCTAAAAACATGAAAAACATTTCAGTCGAAGGCCACTTATTAAATGGACCGAAAGTGAAAAAAATTAAATACACAAGCTTTTCAATAGCGTCTAAATAGTATTTAAAATATCCATTTGAATACATTTAAAAAGGGAATTATATCTCTAATATGAGTATTTTTATGGGAATCAGTTAGAAACAATTACTTGAAGTCTAAATTTTTGAGGCAATATGGTCTTGGTATGGACTACATTCGTTTATCTGCTGTGATGATGGTTTATGCCCTGGCAGTGTGACGGATTAGACTACACACGTGACAAACTGCGTTATAATGCTCGATACTTTTTTTAGGTATACACAAATCTGCCAACCGAGGCCTTCTTTGCGCAGTTCAACACATCCACTCGTTAGTACTTAGAAAGTCAATTAACGTAATAAAACGTACTTATGTCAAATGACAATAGCTGTTTTTTTATGTTTCATAGGGGTTGGGCAATGAAAAAAATTCACGTCTGACAGAGTGTACACCACTATTCCTGAATTAATTCAATGATATTGTAAAAATCGCACCAAATCTACTCAGCGAGGACCTATTAAGGAGGGTTACTGTCAGACTGTTTTTTAGACGTATTCACAGCATCATTGTTGGCATAGAAGTACATTCACAATGATGCCAAAAGTAAATTCCAATGGGCAGAATGACTTGAGTGAAACCGATTTGCCGTTAAAGAGTAATGCAAACAACAGCCAACCATGTGGATCGTGTGAGCAAACATCAAACCAAAGCAATTTTCCCTCCTAGAACTCTTGCCGTGAAGTGCAATTAAGGGGAGATGTTTCTATGTACAAATGGATGCATCCAATTGTACTCTTAGATGGTACTAGAACCAGAGCTCAAGACTGCGAGGAAATGCGTGAGTATCTGATTGAAATCCAAGGCCAAACAAGCAGCTATTAATCGGGGAGCCACTTTGGGTGGTATTCGGACTCGTCGCGTTCATGAGTAGACCGAAGTGTCTATCCTGGTGTCAATTGTTAATTTAGGAAAAAAGTTGGGCTTGTTAAAGAGAATGTGAATAATTCTGCACGTATATGCAAAATGCAACTGCCTAATCCACTGCTATGTAGATTACATAAGATTTTGTGTACACTTGTTTTTATAAAAAGGGGTTGTTTAACTTAGTGATGTCACGCAAGACTGCACACGAAGCTGAAACAAGTGACATCGCAAATAACCAAGAGAATGGAAGCACGGATAAAATAACACAGCATCCCTTTACTGATCACCCCGACTCTTATGCTCTTTTACTTGAATCATGCAGACTTTTGTAAGGGAAAATTGTTATGAAAGTCCAATAAACTTGTTGAGAGCCCCAATACGCGTCACGTCGGGGTCACCAGTTGTTAAAGGCCTTAGTAAGTGGTTTCAAATCGAATGAGGGAATCCAGCGTTTCATTGGTCCGATTACGTTACGCACAACTGTGTGTGTAAATGTGTGTGTGTGTAGCGGGTGTCCATATTCAAAGGTGTGAGTAACCAATAAAAATGTTGATTCAAACGGTTTGGGTGAACTGGTAAAAGTACAAATTTCTGAATGGAGCGATGAGTGGCACGCGTAACAGCGGGACGGCGAGTCGAGGTATGCGACAACCGATTAGTGGACGTGAATCAACGCGACTGACTACACATTCCCAATTACTTTGAGGTGTAGCTGTTCTAGGGGCACTTAAACGGCCTTGCGTCGGATAGGAGGTTAGGTTTAGTTAAAGTTGACCGATTATACTCTATTACACGGTAGCGCCAAGAATGAGCCTTCCACATCTTGCTAATGCAGTGCACGGCAGTAGCCGACAATGTATTGCCTAAAGTCCCTAAAACAGCTCCAAGTGAATGTGTGGCAGGAACTAGAAGCGATAATAAACCAGAGTAAAATGAACGCAAATCAGCATGTATGTAGACTGCAGTCGAACATGTTTAACCGCACCTTCTTGCTTTTTTTGAAAACTAACAAGATATCCTCAATTTTTTAGCAAACATCGACCCTGTTCTTTAACCACCGGGCTTACTGTAAGTAGCAAATTTACTGCAACAATCCCTAATTTGAACACCTCGCGCTTAAGATTTCGGATTTTAATCATCCTAATTCATATCAATTTCAGATTATTCTAATCAAACTTGGCTCAATACATGTTTGGTGCTCCGTTAGTGGTCGCATTCTCTAGCCATCTAGTGTGTTGGGTCTTGTTGTTTCGGAGTCATGGATGTACTCTCAACACGATTGGAACAAACATGTTTGAGATGTGGGATGAAGGGAAGTTGTCGGCTGTTATGAGGATGTGAGATGGCGTCCGGTAGTCGATGTGTATTGCACCTCCTGTTTCTTGCCACATCTTGCCCCTGTCGTCACAGAACTTTTGAGGTGAAACTAGAGTTGTTTCTATGTGTACTAAAGAACAAACCATGCATTTGCCACTGACAGTGCTCCCACCTCATTGCTGCCAAAAGATAACGTCTGCCTACCTTAAGTAAGAATTTGTTATTCCCATCATGGACTGGAAGAGTTCATTACACGAATGTAAGTGACACGAAGTTTTACCTGTGGTAAGCAAAAACAGTCACTCATAGCAACATAAACCACACAACCTCCATAGGAATCGAAGTTCCGTCAAAATCGAGATTTCTTAGATGGAGATGTCAACAGCTACCAATTATCTATCTATTTGGGTCATAAACACTTGCAGATAATCAACTTAGGATTCAAACATGTGTACTAAATTTATTAAAAGACGTTCAGAGCAAAACAGAAGTTAGACATTTTTCGAAACCTAGAAATATGCATTTACACTGCCAAGCAAAATATATTGTGTGATCATTACCTCAGCTATTCAAAAATTAACATGATTAACCCTCAGATAGTTGCATGCGCATGTTGTTAGTGTTTATTTTTTAGCTGAATGGATTAAAAATCATCTACTGGCTAGTAAATCATGTGAAATTTTACTTCGATGGAATATTCAGTAATTCTTAATTTTAATGAATTGAGGTAACCATCAACAATTAGTTTTTGAACCAAATATACGACTTAAACATTCAACTTTCGCAAAACAGTAAAATTAACCGTCATAAGAATAATTCGATTGCTATAAAGAGTGTAGGCGCAGTTATCAGACGCATTAATTTATTTAAAACTCTCCAAAAAAAACTTTAATACGCGTTGAAATGTAAGGAATTTTCTGCACTACTGAACTCTACTGGATGAGTTGACGATCATGACAGAATTAAATCTTAATAAAAAGGGAACTACCTGTGTCTGTTTTTCGAAAGCTTAAACTTCAAAGACCCTATATAGGCTTTAGTCTTTTTGCGGTTTTTTGGCAAAAACAGCAATAACTGAATGAATTTTGGCAGTGTGCTTTCGATTTATTTCACTTTTGTCATAACGGCTAAATCAAACTCTAGAGTTAAAAGCATTTGGCTTATTTCTTTACCTTTATTTAGTATTAAGGGCACTACTGATGCTTGCTACAACCTGGTGCAGGCATTCTATCTCATTCATAATTTTTGGAATGTGGTCTAAAACCAGTGCCCAAAATTTCATGTTTGACATTTTTATGGAACATGAAGTTTAGGTTAAGTGTAAGGCAAGACTCATTTAGCATTTAAATAACTTTATAGGCTAAATTTAATTAAATCTTTTGAAATGCTCAGTTGGGAATTGTTATAGTTTTCATCGGGTAACCCGCGCCTTGTAAATCTTATGAAACGTGATGGGTTTGTCTGTTCCTTTGGCCGTTGATGTTCTTCCATTCTGCGACCATATCTCACATCCATTCACATCTTTGTCTCGTAATAAAAAAGGACTAATTGCTGCTTCAAGGTCGGACGGATCAATTGATGTTTACGATGAAAACGATGGTTACTTTTTGATTCACCATGTCCCACCCTCTGTGTTGACATCAGTTTATGCTGTTTGTTGGGTAAATAGGCGCCTTTTTGCAACAGGTGGCGAGGGACGCGTGTTCGAGATAGACCTCGCCCTAACGCAGCCAAAGGTATACCGGACATTCTTTGTATATCTGTAGGCCATCTTACCACTTCCTGGGGGACTGCCCTGTCGATCAGTCGTTGCTAATGGCGATTCACTCGTTACGGGGAACGATGGGGGTTACATAAACTTCATCTCTGTGGCCAGCGGATCCTTTGAGCTCACATCGTGTCTGGCTAAGGTCGAAGGTTTGTCCTTGTATGTGTTAATTTTCACGGCGACTAGGAAGAGTTTTATGTTTAGCGGCGGACTCAAAGAGGCATTGCGTTGTCGCTGCCGGAGACTCCAATGGAAAAGTTCACATCTTTGACTTAAAATCAGGGTCAACCCTTGTGACGTATGAAGTTGGACACGAAGAATCTCCTAAGCCGACGATTGTTTGGACACTAGCCTTTGTAGGGTAAGACTGTAGCAAACATAATATGCCTCCCCATAAATAATTATGGCCTATTATTCCTTTACAAAAAGTCAATATATCACGATGGTACTAGTCCGTTAATCGCCAAACCTTGCGTTTACAGGAGCGCCCTGTTTTCGGGTGACAGCCGAGGCACCGTTAGTGTTTGGGACGTTGAAGTTGGAGGCATAGTTTCAAGCTTTAGAAGTCATGCTGCGGATGTCCTGGCCCTTGCAGTCAGCATGGATAACCAATCAGTGTTTGCCGCTGGTGCAGATCCAGTCATTCATCGTTTCGATTTATGCCAAACTGAGAATATAGGTAAGTATTTTGCCACATTTCTTGTAATCCTTTCCTTAGCTCAGTGGCAACCAAGCGGAGTCATACGTGGCTCTCAGCGTGATATACGAGGCTTGGTTTTTGTCCAGCGCGGTGAAGCAGGTGACCTTAGATCCTTTAGTGGAGATATGGATCATCTCTTGGCAGTGGGCAACGAAGCTCGGCTGCAGATTCTCCCATGTCCCAGATCGGATTTTGGCGACAAGCCCCCTGTGTCTCGACGTGGGCAAAAGGGTTTTGTCCTTAAGGTTCCCCCTCCAATTTGCCTACCATTTTGGCCCCTCACAGTCACTCCAACTTTGCCATTAGCCGTTCATTTCGCTCAGGAAACGTTTAAGTCGACAGACAGCACCCCTGCTCGACTTTGTTTAATGCAACATGCCGACTATGTTTCACTGTACCGATTGCCTCCGAGGCCAAAACGAATATTTGAGGTAAAGAAGACACCGCGATATTTTCTCAAACTTGCACATATTCAACCAAAGCTGGGTAATCATATCAGGACCTGTTGTATTTCGCCTTGTGGAAAGTTTATTGCCTACTCGGATGAGATTCGGTCTCGGGTCTTAAAAGTTGAGCATCCAGTAAGCGTTCGACTGTTTTTGCCAACGTATTTGATTGTTGTCCTATGAATTATTAAAAGCTAGTTGTGATGCGAATCACCTAAATTTAACCAATTAAAAGAACTAACGAAGGATTTCTTCTCTTCATGGCAATACTGATTAATTGGGGGTGGTCTCAGCAAATTTCGTCTTTCTTTAACCCGGAAATGTTTTTGTATGCCCTAATATATTCTCTGTAATCACAACAGGTAGGTTCTGTGCTGCCTCCGCTCTTTATCTCACTTAAAATTTGGCTATTTTTATTGATGTAGAGATTCGTCAGTTTGCTACGATGCCCTGTTGTCTTAAGCTGTCCTCGAAATTATATAAATTTAAATACAAATATATTCAGAAATCGTGGAAATTCAACCCTAATGAACCAGCTCCATTAACGACCCTCTCCCGCCTTGCTTGGGTTAAAGCCGGACGAAGAGGTATTCAAAGCAGAACTTCCTCTACTTCCTCTGACGCAGACAATACTGACTCCGAAGACGGCCACTCCCTTTTCCTTTCCCTGGACCAATCGTCTGCTGACCTCTTTGTCACCAACGAAGTTAACAGTTTTGATGAACAGTTGCTGCCCAGAAAGCGGAAAGCAGCGACTGCCATCGGAGACCATCAAACTACCGATGATCAAGCAGTTGAATCTTCGAATATTCCTTCCTCCTGTCTAATGGCTTTTACCCCGAATTCCAGTTGCTTGGTTAGCGTGGATGAAGCAACGATGCAGATAACCTGCCGTAGACTTGATTCTGGTGTTGAGATGTGGCGTTTTACTCCGGGAAAGGGTAGGAGTTGATCTAATGTGGTTCAGGCGCATCTATGTGACTGACAAATAATCGAACGTTAAAACATCTCTTCATTGCATATTTCAATAGTGTCGTTTTGGTTCTATAACCACCACTAGCACATTTATCATTGCGCGAACGATAGCTTTGTATTGGAACAATTTCCAACCCAACTCTCGTAGAGTGAACCTTGCCGATGAGCTGAGTTTATATCGATTTATTATTAATTCTGTTTTATTATTTTTTTATGAAAATAGAGGAAGGAGGAATAGCATGTCCAGTTCACTTGCTGAAGATGGCCCAATTTTGTACAGAAAACTTCAAAGACGAGTGTATAACACTTCTCACAATGGCCTGTCGAGATGGTCGAGTTCTGGTCCATGCATTCAATGATAACTCCAGTAAAGGCCAGCGACATCTCTTTACTTGTCCAAAAGTAGCTGATCCCGTTCGACCCCGTCATCACCCGCGCCCTGTGTCGATCGCTCTGCGGGTAGAGGAGGGTGACGAAACTGTCACTGCTTGCGTCACCGTCCTCTATACAACTGGACAAATCATTGAATGGGCCATTCCTCTTCAGGTAGTGAAGCCTGACGCAGACGCCGAAGTCGTCATGGTGGGCAGCCCACAAACTGATTCGTGGTTGGATGAGTTTTGGCAGCGCCACAGCACCTCATGGCGAAAGTGCATGCCTCGTTTCCACTCCATGGACTATTTGCCTGGAGGCCATGTAATTATACTGGCCTCTCGGGGGTTCTGCCTCGCCCTCGACCGGCGTGAGGTAAGTTCACCCGAAATTTACCCAGCATTGCCCACCTCAAAAATCTAATTCATAAAATGATCCTGTAGATATCCTCGGTAGAGTCGTCAAACCCTAGCCAAACTCAAATGTTCTCATCCTAAGTGTGACATAGTGTTTGTGCTGATTCTAGTCCGGTCTAATCTTAAAATTCTGTCTACTTCAAGATGAATCCCGATTCCGGTTGTTCCACCTGTGTTAGTCTCGTTAGCCCAAAGACCCGTTGTGCAGCCAGATGTGTGTCCACAACGTCCTCTTATTGAAGCTTATATTGCATCGCATTCAACTCTTTCCAAGTATTCTTTGTTTCAATTTCCACGGAGTAAAGTAACAAAACCGAGTGCTAGTACCTTTCCTCATCTCGTTAAATCCAAGCCTTTGTCTATTTCTTTAGCAAATAAGGGATAACGATATTCAAGTAGCCTTCCTCGATCGGAACTGGAAAGGTCCAGATGGTTGCCTCAACGTTTTCTATCGGACAAAAGTACGTTACCTGTAATTATCGATCACTGACTGCTTCGCATTTTGCGCGTTCGATGTCGATTGAGAGCCATTACCTAGTTAGTACCTAATTACTCTCGATTTACCTCACTAAATTAGTTTGTATTTTAAGTGACAAACGTGGCATTGAGTGGGTTTTGGACCTCGGTTTGACCACACAATTGACAGTCTTTGGCAACTGAGGTTGACAAGGTTGGTCACGTCGCTCGAGGCTACATCGGCGCAGTTCATCGACACATTTATTGATACAGTAGTCAGATTTTTGCATCTTGTTTGTTGCAAGGGAGTCCTTGGAACTTTTGCTCCCTTTTTACTGCAAATGGCAAAGCGCTCGCATTCAGACGAAGACAGATGTGCCAATGGGATGTCAGACTAGAAATTCTAATTACAGCATTCACTTACTTTATAGACCATGTTGCAATGCACAGTGTTGGCCGATCGAATCGCTGCACTGAGAATGGATGCCAAGCCAGCTATTGCAAATTTGCCAGCGCCTTTGCTAAGGAAACGATTCGGAACCTGACCGAACGACAACCCACTGATGTACAGTTGCTGTGTATCTGGCGAGCAAGGATACGTTAATACAAACTCAGTATTGAAAAAAATGTCCTTATTTAAATGCTATGGTTATTGTTGGGGGGATCTCAAACGCTCCAAGTCTATGACTCCAAATAACGTACTCCTAACGTCACTGTTGAATTACGCGATAATTTTACGTGTATTGCACACCCACCTGACCGATAACGCTGTTTGCCTAGGAATATCTTAAAAGCCTTAACTGGCGTAAAATTTTGCAATAACACCGGTCTCCTGGTGTCGACCACTAAATGAGCTAAGCATCGAGGCCAGCATAGTCTTCTCTGAACAAGCCTCAACTTTTCGATGCAGATTTACCTCTTTTCATTCTTTCGACACGTAAACTTCGATGTCAGTTAACTGACTGCAATTTAACTTTTGGCCAGCCCAACCGACTTATTCATAAGATAAAGCAAGTAGTAATCTTTCTTATTCCCTGGATAACGCTGTAAATCACTCAATGCTGCGCATTGACGCAATGATTGCCTGTGTCTTCTTTTTACGCAGATCGTCGCTAAAATTATAAGGGATTACGTGTTAAATTAAAGACAGCGCGCGGCTTTTTCGTGTGTCACTATGGAGCAATAAGCAAGACTGCAAACACCCTATTCAAATGCGAACCAACTTTCTGGAACTTGATTTTCCACAAATGCTATCTATTGTTGGTCAAAAGTAATGCCTTCCTAGTGCCCATTTGCGATATTAATACGGCTTGGCAACTCGGTGTTCTTGTTGTAAGGCCAGTGCTTTAGCAGCTATTTTTTGGTACAAGAGGTCGCACAATCCATATCTTCAAAACGCCCACGAGCAAAGCTCTTCAAATCTCAAAACCAAATATCCAAACCCGCAACCGTCTCTGGGGCCTGAAACGCCCTCAGATCTGGTTCGCCCATTTGCCGCATATACACTTAGATTGCAAATTAGTACGTCAACTGTCCAAATTAAGTTGAGCTGCTTCTTTATAGTGGCCGCAATAATGTGCATCAAGCGAAACCCGCTTTTTGTAGCAAGATTTTGGAAATTATTCACTACTCAAACTAGGGTTGCTCAATCCTCAGTTTTGGTCCCCTTTCAAGGGACACAAGATATGTCTAGATGATACCGTTGCAATTATCACAATGTGATTCAACTCACCTGGCCTTGGTTTTCTTCCGGTCGTAGTTGGCAAGGAACCGGGCGTCGCGGCGAAGCTCCCGAATGACTCCTCTTTTCTCCTTTGCCAACTTCTGCCTCAATTCCACATTAGCCGGTTTCTTTTTCTTCGTTTTTCTGACGTCTAATCTTTGGGTAAACATGGGAGTCAAATATACACACATCAAAATGTGCCAAGTGCAGACGGTATACGGTTCGCTTACTTTTCATCAAACTGGGGCTCTAGTTGAGGAACAAGACCGACTTTTTGCAAGTCCTGAGGTGTAGCACACTTGTTCGCCAGCAATAACGATACTTTGTCCGCGGTAAAAATTTCCCTCGGCTGTGGCTGTGTCTTCAAGCCGGCGACCTTTTCGTTTATCAACTCAGCTTTTTTCGCTATTCCTACCGGCAAATAATTAACATTCAGCCGATCGGTAGCAAGCCCAGAAAAAATTTGGCAGACGGTCGGGGCAGGAAAGTGCGCAGCGTAGATGTTGAGTATCCATATGGTAAGTTCAAGACACTTGTTCAGACAAGCCAGACGATAGGTTGGCACTTCTACCTCGGAAATAGTTCGACCTTTGGTGGCTATGTCTATATCGAGGGTGGCGTAGGTAGAGCTTCAAACAGAAACAGTGGCAATTACAGAAAAACGGGATAAAATTGCAAGACTGCCATCATCATAACAAGGACCCATAGCCCCAGTTGCTCACTATAACCCGATTCCAGCGGACCAGCTATCAACCGGACAGGACAGAACTCAAACCACGAGGTTTTGCTTCCTCTAAAATTCGTCACTATCGTTGGTAGCGAGGCAACTCTGCCTCAATGGAGAAAGCAAAGCATGTATGCACGAGGAATAAATTTGACTTAAAATGTAATAGATTACTGACTCTGGTGAGCGTTAGCTAAACGATACACCATCCCTATATTGGGCAAATTAAGAGATATTAGGTCCTCAAGAGACGTTTGAAAGCAGAAGCGTTATCGGAAGATGGATTACGTGCACAATTACTAAGGCTTAAGAATCTTTACAGGCCATTTAACTACCCATCTCATGTCAACGCACTTGTCCACAGAAGACATATCCTCTGCAACATATAGAACGCCACCCTTTGTACAGGCTGTGTTGATAAGCCGCAAAAGGAATTGCGGTAGTTCGGGAATAAAAATGCCATTTAGACGTCCTGAATTGGCAAATTTGGCATTTCGCGCTCCACTCCCTTCCACTTTTAACGAGATCACATCCACCAGGACGATCTGAGCGAGAAAGAGACCACGCACGACATTTGAGAGAGTCGCCAGCTGGAGATGCAGCAGCTCGTCGGCAATTTGGGACACAATGACCGGTTCGTAAGCCCCGATGCGACAAAGGAGACGAAGCACAATGTCCTCCGTCTTCGGCTCGTCAAATGTCCTCCTCGACAAGACTTCTTCGCTGGATAGGAAGTACAAATTACCGTTTCCTTTTTAGCATGCGGGTGTTTAGATGATGTAACAGCTTCAAACAACCCCATTTACGGCACGACGTTAAACCAATGAGGCATGACGACTACTGAGGCGACAAAAGACATCAGGACAAGGGGAGATGAACAGCCAGCAAAGTGGACCAGGCCAACTGACTTGATCATATGACATGGGCCGAATGATGCAAATTTAAACAGGACTTGTCGCTCAAAAGACAGTATCTGCAAGTAAGCAGTACTTAATTACCAAAACCTCTCAGATGTTCGTTGGTGGGTCGTCGTTTTCATATCTGCCCTGATTTCTTTAGAGCGAGCGAAAGTGGCCCCCTGAGAGATGGCTCCAAAAATATAAATGCACAACATAAACCCACATTCTGTTACTAAGGCAGTTTTTTTTTATCAGACTTGGGAAAACAAACCAATGAGAGCATTCGAGATTTGGTATCATTGTAAAGTGGACAATTACGCAAAACATCATGTGTTCTTGTCCACTTGTCATATTTTGTTTTGAACCAGGCACTGACGTAGATTCGTCATCAAGGATGTCTCAGGTGACAAAACCGAGCAGCGAAATGAATTTGGGCGTTACACCACCATAGGCAATGTGGATAGTTTAGCTGACCATGTGAATGTCATTTAACTACAAGCTAAAACATGGTCCAGTCGAAGAAACAGACATTTCGCTTTTCTGACATTTAAAACTCATTTGCGACTCTAGAAGTAAAATCTTTGTTTATGTGCGTTTAACATGACCGAAAATTCACCTAAAAGTGGACTCCACCTTCCTGGAAACAATGGACTCGAGATTTGCGAGTAGCTGGTCTGATTTGATCGACTCAGTCCCAACTTTGACGCCAACTGGAACGACGCTCTTTGCCGAGGAGAGTTTGTTTAGCAGTCGCAGGACCTCGGTGCGGCCTTCCGCCATCTTCTCCGAAGCCTTGGTACTCTTGAAATAAAGAAAACGTGGGTATTCGCAACTCACAATCAGACATCATTCGACCAACTGACGCCGTTGCTGCAATTAATTTTGTCTGCCTGTTAATAAGTTATCTTTCGAACGCACTCTAAAAAAAGGCGCCTCTAGGCAATGGTGAGAAAACGCCCGAGGTGTTAGATTTCGGTTGTCAAATTTCTCTTTCATCCAAATGCCTATAAGCATGAAGAAGGCGTTCAAACTTTATGTGATAAATTACTTGCGTAGTTAGACTTTTTCCTAAGAGCGACTTCATTTTACGCTAGACCTATCGATTTATTTGCTTGTGTTGAAACCTAGAAGACCTCTAAAAGGTTAATAATGAGAAAATTTGTTAACAATATGGAACCATGTTAAGCAATTATACGCACAAAACCATTTTACAACCTGGAAAAACTCCATGTATTAAATAAACACATTTACGAAAGAATCTACGGCCGCTGATTTATTTCGAGCTGCTGATGCCTTGGCGTCATGGATTTGACATCAATGAAAGTTACTATTGATAAATACTTACTTTTGGCTTCAGGTCATTCAGCTTGGCCAACATAAAACGAACTTTATCGGCCCATTCAGCATCAGCATCTTTGAGCTTCTGTCTATTTGCTTCATTTTCCTCGACGCGCTTTAGTCGCTGTTCCTTAGTCAGTGCTATCTTTTGCAAGAGGGCATCCTGCGTGCTCTGACGACTGATTTTGGCATCAGGCTCCACAGCCTTCAGGAGACCACCGGCAAACAACTCACTCTCCACAATTTCAGCTAGCGTGAGAATATAATAAATAAACACCTGTTAATTTGTTTCGAAGCAAGCGGTGAGCGCGCATAGTGTGAACGCCACAACACCCCCTACTAAACAATCAGCAGAATTCGTTTGCAAAATTTAACAGCATAAACAAGGTAGAAAATTGTGACGAAATTTGGGTCCCATTTAATGGTAGAATACATCTGTGTACTTATAAAGAAGATCAGTATATATTCTAGCTCAGATAAATATTGAATGATAGTACATCTCTTTCATCGCAGGTAAAACTCTCATTCGAACTATCGCTCAACGACCAAAGATTGTAAAAATAGTTAAAAGCTCTTCCTTTAAACCCCAAAAATTGGTAGGTAGGGCGCAGTGTCACCCCAAGAAGACGGGTGCTAGCTACACACATAATCTGGTGAAGCTTAATTAATGTAAGCGGTTATACCTCACGCGGGTGTAAGGAAAAGGCGACAAACAGTTAACACCGACATAACTTGGTGTAAATAGTATCACTTAGAGTCGTTTAAGGTGTTATAGAACGCTAGGTCACAGTTTATGCATAGAACCTAATCTACTATTGAATTCTTACCAGAAAGTCCTCCCAAATCGTCATCAAAGGAGGCGTGCACATTGGACTTCTGATTACCCATCGATGCCTTAACAAGAGGATCGTCTTTGTCGGCTGATATCGTGCCAAGGCTCTCCATTTGGCGCTAAAAAAAAATCACATAACACCAGCTAGGTGCCACCGGAAAAGAACAACAGTACTATTTGAATTAAAATTAAGAAAGTGCATAAGAATATATTTAAAAGGAAAAAGAAAAAAACACATCCAATGTACACGCGCATGGGACTTAAAATGAATATAACTTAACTCCACAAAAAAACCTTCCTTGAGATAATGCGAATCCAACAACAGACACTCACCAGTTTTTCAATTATGTGTCTGCGCAAGGCAGCGTCGGTTGATGTGGTCATTGATCCTTTGACACCAACGCGTTTGTCGATAATCCCACCAACTTTACCGAAATCCTCCAGCTGTTTCGAGAGAATTCGTTCTCTCTAATACAATGATTATTTGATTAACTAGATGAGCTCACTGAATTGTGTTTCGCCTTCAAGATTCCGCACTTTTGCTTGCTTTTCATAGATTTCGTCAGCTTTGATGGTTGAACATTTCCTTTTGCCATCCTTACTTTCTACCACATTTGAAAACAAATAATGATGTAAAAATCGACAGGAAATCTGCCACTTTCATGGACGTTATAGAACCAAAATAGTTAATTATACAACTAAATTATCTATAATTACATTAATAAGCGAGAATTCAAGATAACCAAGAGTTTAAAAAATCCAAAACACCCTCGAAAACGAGCGAGAATGCACGCACCATCCTATTGGCTAAAACAGATTAACTACAATTTGCGCCAATACTTTAAAAAGCTAAAACTGCAGAATCGATTAAATGAATTCTCGACCCTGCTTTCATTATTCTGTAGCAATATTTTAGACCATCTAAACTTATATATTGCATAAGAAGAGTTTCAAATCCAAAAGAACTTTTCAGTTTAAGTTTTCTGAATATTTTAGCGATTTCGTACATTTTTCAAGGTGTAAAGTGCGATCGGAGCTTGGACCAAGGACTAAGGGAAGACTAGCTCTAAGGGCTACTCAAAACTTTGACCTGTTCATATGAACTGAGGCAGGCTTTCGACATTTATGATTTGTTCCGGAGACGAATGTATGATAAAAAGAAGAAAGATGGTTAAATACAAGAAGTTCGGTAGCTTACTCATACAGATATATTCACAGATTAGAAATTAAGCAGATCAACGAAATCAGAAATTTATAAAGAGGCTAAAATGTAGTATGGTGTGTTGAGTGTCGCGTGCCTGTCTCTTAAAAACAATACAAAATGTGTGTCTATTGAACTGTGAGCCAGGTTTATGACAGTTTGTCCGTCCTACACCAATGTAGCCTACATTCTCAAAATAACTACCATTACGGTCGACCTGACTATTCATCTCATGAATCTACCATAACTATCACCACATCCGTGTCTCAGATTCCCTGTCCAATTTTTAGCTAGACACGATCATTTTCAATATACTAGGCACACGATATTTTATTATTGTGTCGAGTGACCAGTAGCCAGTAATGATGGTATGACTATCTCTAAGTGATTGTGTCATAGTATTTATTCTTTTTAGATTGCATTTGGTTGTCTAATTACGAATTTTTTGTAAAAAGATGCTAAGTAAATATAGAATGTAATGTCCTAATGCATTGTCAACTACAATTTTGTCAACAATTGTTACTTCTTCTAAATACTTGAAGCTATATGAAATCATCTTTGTCTCCTTGCTATCACTTATATTTATAACTTGCTTTATAAAAGGGAGGAAAATTAAAATTTCTAATATATATGACGCTAAACGCCACTAAGTATCATTGATAAAAATGTTACATTTAATTTGGTCGGATTGACCTCTGTAACCATTGGCTTTGTTTCGATCCCCAAAAATATGTTTTCTGGATTACAATTTGATTCCTGATATTTGGTTAAGGTTTCAGGCATAAAAATTTGAAGTTCCTTGAAAAGTACAACAATGTTTTTTTCAAACAATGATATCAAAAACTCGCACAACCTCGAATGATATTTTTTAGAACAAATGGACAGTGTGAATCGCGTTGATTTAGAGTCGCTAACGCGGTTCTCCTTTTTGCATCATGTCGTCAGCCGGGCGAATCCTTAACTCCCTCACTGGCGTGAATTATTATCCTGGATTATCCTCACACTTACGTTTTGATTTTAGCACATTTATAACTCATGCTGCTTCACGCACCTGAGTTGTATATACATACCCGAAAACGCCACATACTTCAAAACAACAAAAACTTGGTTGAGCTCTGAATTAAATGGCTGTCTCCGTGTCATCCTTGTTCTTATTCATCTTCACGGGTACGTAGGGAAGCGTAATCGGGCTAGATCTAACTCTGTGGCCCCAGCGTGGTTCAAGACCCCATGCTAGGACCTAAAACAGCCTTTAACATTTTTTTTCTAGAATTTCTTGTGTTGACCTTGATTTCAATAAAGGCAATAATTTTTCCAATAATGTATCTTCGTGCCTTAGTTAATAAATTAAAGAGGTTTTAAGGCGCTTCGGATGTCATCAACTACGTTATCAAGTATTCCTTTATTTCATCAATTAGAAATGGTTGAACATAAAGGTAAATTCTCTAATCAAGCATTGTGTTTATTCCGATTACTCAGTACCACATTATTACCAAAATATGGCTTGGAAAAATAATATTAAACAGTTAACAAAGGCTGCAAAGTGTTAAATAAATAATCGCAAGATATCATAGCTTAGTGATCTATGCATTTGTTGTGAATAACTTTCCTCAGAGCCTGAGTAAATACTAAAACATCTTAGACACGAAATGATCAATTTTATCAAAAGGGATACATTTTCGAAATCGTAAAATCAAAATCTAGACAAGACTAAAAAAATCCCAATAAATATGCAATATTAAAGCCTTTTTAAATAAATGGACGTGAAATTGTTTTGCAGGGATTTGCGTGGCTGCTTTTCTCCTAAAATGACCCAAGGCGAAGCCGCTTACAAAAAAACAACAACAGCAACATAAATTTGAAGAAACCGTTCTTTGATCACATACTGAAATCAGCCTTATTATGTCGGATGTGAATTATTATTCACAAACATCAAACGAGCAGGCAGGCAAGTGGTTTTAGGGAAATTATCACCGACATTTTGGCACAGAAAATATGTCAGTAAGTAGACATGTGTCACTATAGTTACTCTGTTCTGAGTTAAGCTTCATCAGACTATAATTTTTGTAAAGACAAAAATAAAGTGCTTCTTTTCAATGTTAATCTATCCAAATTATGTGGTTAGTCATCAAAATTAGACCTAAAATTCAGTGCCATGATAGGACGGGATTTTTTAAGTGTAAATCGCCTTTTAACAGATATACCATTTTGAAATGCTGTCATGCAAAAGAAGAGCTCCTGAAATTGCATCAGTTCCATGTTGAAGGCAATTACTACTCAAATTGTCGATTCAGGCCTCAACTACCTGACTGTGAATGGTTGCTTTAGATGATTTCAAAATTTACATGATGCTTTGTCAATTGAAATTTGTTTTTCGTACAAGGGATAACCTATATGTCTTCGAAACCTTTGTTATTTTTAGAGACTGCAAATAAACAAAATCAAAATGTTTGTCCTAAAACGTAATCTTTCTCAAATCACTATCGTATTCTACACACACGCACACACCGTACTTTAAAAATCTAAGTGTTCATACAGTCATAATGATGTTAGAGATCATTAAATGAATAATTGGGTGCAAGATCTCCACCAAAATTAGCAATCTACACGCTGGTCAGAAGTGGCAACACAGCCGACGGAAATAAATTTAGTGTGCCATGAGCATTGAGAACCTTTGCTAATCAAGGTTTTTAATTGCAGTTAATCATTCATCAGCGGGCAATCTACGATTCTAGCAGAGATCAGAGGGACAGGGTCTTCAATTCTGTAAGACTTTCGATTCTACATACAAAGATTCTCCGAACTTTCATTTGGTTGAACAAATTCTGTTTCAATCTATATGAGCAAGGTTTCCGGTAGGTTCAAATCTGCATGCAGTTTGGCAAATACAGTTTAGATCACCTGGTGGCACCAACTGGGGTGGCATTTGCAGTGCAGAAGAAGTTAGTCGGTTTATCTTTGACGATTGAGTGAGGTCCGAACAGAATCTATGCATTTGAAATGAGAGCGAATAACGTTGTTTCGTACCCTCATCAGACAGGATTGTTTTTGTCTCTTTGACCGAAAGTAATTTGAACAGAATTTTTGCGGAAATCAGTTGGCTAATGCTGTTGCGTGAGATAGCCTTCAAGATTTCCAGACCCCTGTTCTGCAATCATTTCCTCTGGTTACTGCTCAAAATCGGACATGGCTCCTTAATTCATAGACCCTCGGTAGCCTTAAATATAGCATCGTAAAGTCATTGGAGAATGTAAAGCCATCATTGCGCAAAAATCAGCGGGCTCAACTACCAAACTTTGCCATTTCTGTATTGTAATTAATGCTTTTCTAAGTTTATACATTTACTGCAAATGTTAAGTTAACACAGATTTTCTGCCCTTGATAATAACTTTCATTTTTCCGCTTTCGTCAATAAACAAAAGCCGTTGGAGTCACGTTTTAACTCTGATTTCGCATAAGAGTCGAGTCAAAAAAATTTAAGTTCAACACAGTTCAAGTAATACACAACGTCAACACATATTCATCCTTTGAAGAAGAGTATAACCATACATAAAGGATTTGCATGGAAAGTGGAATGAGCACATATTCAGTGCTTATGGATAGTCAGACGATTGTAAATTATAACGTTGCAGGATCTATGAAGAAGCGAGAAGAACCAGGAACCTGTCTACGCAAGCACGATTTATCTACCAAACGTTAGTAGGCTTGGTGGTATGCGTCGTCTTCAGCCACTGACCTGTTACTTGCCCTGTACGTGTGCATTACATAGGGTCGAGGTGAACTCGTCCCGTGGTCAGAGTTGCCGGTTACTAGGTTTTGCTTCAGTGGCTTTTGAACGGACGCGTCTGGATCGTTTTCCTCTTCATTACCATAGCCATAACCGGATTTAGCTATGCTCTCCGGGACATCAGTGGGTGACTTCCAGGCCAGCGGTGTGTCGTCAGCGGCCTCGGCCCAGTGCTGCTTCTCGCCAGAAGCAAAGATTGCGTAGAAGGTGACACCAAAGAAGTGGACAGAACTCGCCAAGATGAAGACCCACATCCACTGACGCTTTGTCTACAAAGAATAATTACTTTTAATTACTTGTAAAATACAGGCAAACGTTTATTGATGTAAATCCTTACTCCTTGTGTGGTTATATATTCCACAATAACAGGGCAGAGAATACCCGAGATTGTACCAATTCCATTGGAGAGACCCATTAAAATGCTTGCATACCTTGGAGCAATATCAAGATGGTTGACGTTGTAGCCTAAGAAGGATGCAGAATATATTTAACACTATAAAGTTGATTAAAACAGTTTTGTAAAATGCAATTGCTAACCCGAGATGGCGAAGCCGCTGAATGAAACAGCCAAGATGAGGGATGCCATAGCAGTAGTGTATGAATTGGCAAATGCCACAATAAGTAAAAAAAATGCCTCCATTCCAAAACCTAAAATTAAAAAAATTTCTCTAAACGATTTTGGGCTAAATATAGCACCACCTTTTATTTTTTTCAGTTTGCCCAGACGCTTTTAGTTTAAAATTACCAATATTAAACAAGGAAGGTTGAACACAAGCTTCAAATGCAAAATGGATGCTTCAAATCGCATCGAACTTCCTGTCAATTAATATACATTGTAGCATGTTTACTTCCTCACAGAGTGAAATGATTTTGCAGTCCCTCAATATGCAAATAGGTTTTCTCCCATGGAGGTGAGAACCGACAAAACGTCGAGTTATCAGTGAAACACGTGTGCAAGAGAAGTTGGTTTTAGTGAAGATGGTGCCCGTGTCACATGCTCCTAAATTGGTGTTGTCGCTTGGTGCGCCATGGTAGGCCAGTGCAACATGACGATTGGCGTGGTAAAATTACACAACTTGGTCGTAAAGGGGCAGTCACCTAGGTTTGAACTCAATGTATTTAATGAAAAACTTTGGGCCAGTAAACGTAGCCAAAGTATTCTCAGAAAATGCATTGTGGAAGTGAGTGCATCATTTGGCCATGGTGCAGCACAGCTTGCCGCCGCCGGGTGTTGCCTTGACCACTGGCCACTGGCTGTAGGAATGCAACCCTGTGGTCGCTGAAATTTCTTTCAGTCACATTCAATAAATTTACTCGTTTAAGAAGACTCACCTCCGCAATTAAATATTTTTCGAACAGCGGTTGTGGTCAGTGTTTTCTTCCTGAGTCTGTCGGCTAGTTGGCCGCTGATAGGGACGATGATTGCCATAATTAGATGCGGTACGGAAGAAAGAATACCCGACTGAAAAAAATATGACGTTCATCGATTTAAACACAGAAGACACCGAGGGTCTTTCATGCCACCAAATTACTACAGAATAAGCACGTAACGCCGGCATTTGAAGTGTCTGTTAATTGTATCCTTGTTCGCTAATTCAGTCTTAAGTTTGTAGCCTTTGGGGTGAGTAACCACCTTCACACCACACTGCACTCGCCATTTCACTTTTATAAATGTGAGACGAAATAGTTTGAGTCAACGAAATAATCCAAGTGGTTTTCATGAAGGTTTATATTAGGAAGCAGGCAATGGAAATTCGTTATGATGTGCTAGCTTAGAGAGAAAAGTTTTTCTGCATACAGCCAAAGGGTAGGTTTTGAGCTCCCTTCCAAAAGCGTTCACTTCGCTTTTATCACACCTAATTTACCTTGGACTTATTACTTTTTGTCTATGAAAATTTTCCCAGTATTTTCTCCTACAAGCTCTTTAAACGTCATTAAATCAGGCCGATACGCCAGAAAGTTAATTTTATATTTCTTCGTCAATGCTCCGCAATACTCAAGCCAAAGCCACGCAG